TCTACGACCTTCGGAAATGGTGAAACCACCAAATCTAAAAAAAAAATAACAGAGACAGTGGAATGCAGTGAATGAGGTACTAGTGGTCACCTCGGTCACCTGAATACTTGGTCCTGGTGGACCTTTTCACTTTTCACTCTCAAAAATCTTGTGACCACCAGATGAACATTCGGAAAGGTGCGTAGAAACACTTGACACAAAAAAAGAAGAGGCACAAGAAAAATCAAGGCTTTCCATGTTTTTTGTCAGAACTGTTCACGTGCCATCAGTAAAACACAAAAAAAAACAGTAAATGTACATATACGTGTATTGAAATAAAACAAACAGTATGAATTTAATATTCCTGGTGTATTCAATGTTCTCTTCAGCATTGACTTCATCTTCTCCAACTGGCTGCTGATGTACCTGAGTGACGAGGAGCTGAAGTGCTTCATAAAGAAGATGTTGGGCTGGCTGCGGCCCGGTGGCTTTCTTTTCTTCAGAGAGTCCTGCAACTACCGATCAGGTACCAAAGTAATGTTAAAATCTCTCTTATGTCATTTACAGTATTCAAACATTCATAGTAATTGAGTTCAGCAGTCCAGACTCAGATGTTTCACTGCTTAATCAGTCAAACCATTATTTGCATTTCTTTTGATAACGTTTTAGCAACAATAACCAGTTTATCCCCTTTCTCACCAAATAATGGGAATGATTTGTTTTAACCATAACTTTTTACCAAGGTGACAGCAAGAGGGACTTCAACCCCACCTGCTACCGCACCGAGGCACAGTACAGCCACCTGGTATCATCGGTACAAGCAGAGGAGCCCGAGGGCAGCAAAACGTTTGGTTTTGACATTGTGTTGAAAAAGAAAGTTGAAACCTATGTTGAGGTAGAGTAGTACAAGTCTCACCAAATGTCAAATAAGTTTAAAACTATGAAATAAAAGGACTAAGCAGTGTGTGATGTTTAATGTCCTCCTATTCCAGATGAAGAACAATCCCAATCAAATCTGCTGGCTGTTGGAGAAGGTTTCTCGCTCCTCAAACACCCAGAACGGATTCTGCACCTTCCAGCAGTTCCTAGACAACCAGCAGTACACCAGCCGCGGTATCCTACGCTACGAGAAGATGTTTGGAGCTGGTTACGTCAGCACAGGGGGCCCTAGCACCACCAAGGTATGAAAGAAGTCTGGACAAAACCAAAGAAACAGGAAGGAGCCACTCGCAGTCTTTTTATCAAACATACAGAAAGAGAATTGGCCCTTGTCATAGCAGCTTCATCAGTGGATGCTGTTCTCTCCTTCTCCTTAACTGATTGTTTGATTATTTTTGTGTATAGAAACCTACACTTCAAAATGTTTATGCTAATCATCATCATCCTTGGAGATACTGGATGATATACAGATGCACAGTATGTTTTTGTAAACTAAAATGTGTGTACAACTTGTGCTGACAGGAGTTTGTGGACCTGCTGACACTAAAGCCTGGACAGAAGGTTCTGGATGTAGGCTGTGGCATCGGAGGAGGAGATTTCTATATGGCAAAGGTAGAACCAAGAATTCTGGGATAGTTAGGGCGGGACTAGTAATGATGACAGAGGGATGTTGTCATATTTAGATCAACTGTAAGCACTGTAATGATCGCGATGATAATGTCACTTTCTAGACCTTTGGTGTTGAAGTGCTCGGACTGGACCTGTCAGACAACATGGTGGACATTGCCATGGAGAGGGCGATCAATGAGAAGCTGCCATCAGTACGTCTAAATGTTCCCTTATTGGTTTAAACTTCACACACAAAGGTTTGTTTTAAAAGTAAATCAGTAATGGCCTTTGCTTTACATCAGGTCCGGTTTGAAGTCGCCGATGCCACAAAGAGGATGTTCTCAGAAGGTTCCTTCGACGTGATCTACAGCAGAGACACAATCCTGCACATAGATGACAAACTGGCCCTTTTCAAACGCTTTCACGTGAGCATTTTCTCATGCTTTACACAATAGCAATAAAATTCAATAGCGATAAAATCTAATTGTTGTTAAAATCTTCCAAAGAAAATAACATTTTGTGTCATTTAAAAATGTATTTTATCCATTATTTAATTTACTTTATTTCCAGTCATGGTTAAAACCTGGAGGGAAGTTGCTAATTAGTGACTACTGCTGTGGGGAGAAGCCCTGGACACCAGTGTTCGATACCTACGTCAAACAGAGAGGCTACGTCCTTTATACACCCTCACAGTATGGCAAGGTAAAAACACAGTGCAGACTTATACATAGTGAAAGGAACGAAAAGTGTTATGTTCTCTTGATTGATGGTCAATTTATGTCCAAAGTAAAAGTGTAATTCTTCCAATTATGTAATTCTGTGACAATCAATGAAGCAAGCCACAATGCCGATATTAGCCGATCACAGACACAGTAAATCGTCTTGGTGAACACGCTGGCTGGTAAGTTGCAAAAATTGTCAGATGAATAATAAGGAAACTTTGCAAATGTTCTTCAACCAACAATAAATCTTTAAATCCTGCAGCAGCCTTATAAATAGTCAACAATGGAGCATGATGGTGGTCTATAAAAAAACATTTATTTTTCATGAGGCATGTCCCTGTACACCAGAGACACAGGTCTGCTATGCAGAGGCCAAAGGTCATTTTAGGCTTTGAGGGTGTTTGTTTCGCTCTTCATCATATATGCTGTGAAATTCAAGAAACTGTCTTCGCCTGTGCAGAGAGCTCCTACTGTGAATGTGAACTTGCTAATATATAACAACATCCAGCAGCTGGTGGTGCTCCTCCCTCCTTATCACAAACCCTTTCCTACAGTTCATTGAAGAAGCTGGTTTCTGCAACGTTCAGGCAGAGGACCGAACAGACCAGTTCATCCAGGTGATCAAGACAGAGCTGCAGAGAGCAGAGGCCATCAAGAGTGAATTCATTGAGGTAAATGTGTGCTGCACACAACATCACTAAGTTGTACTTGCACGTGTAACATTGCTTTATTTATCAACTTAATGAAAACCTAAATTCCTGTTGCCTGCAGGAATTCTCTGAAGAGGACTATTTTGCAATAGTGAATGGTTGGAGGGAAAAACTGGAACGTTCCAACAGTGGAGATCAACGATGGGGACTATTTTATGCAACAAAAGTTTGAGTGATGACATGGAGAAGATAATAAAACTAGTAAAATGAACGTTTCTTTTCTTATTGTCTCTTTTTATGTTCTTTAAGAAGCTTTTTTATAAAAATCACAAAATAAATAATCAATATGAATGGTAGAAGAAACTAAAAACATGACATAAATATTCAGAATTCAATATTCAGTTATTTTCCATCTAAAAAGAAGTAGGAAGAAGCAACATACTTTTCTTGTCTGACCCTTATACGAAATAGTCAAAAATTACAAATACAACTCTACTTTCCCCCTAGTGTTTGTCAGCGGCTTTCCATTCCTCTTTGTTTTCTGTACCTCTCATAAAACGCTGTTTTAAATCTTTTTTAACTTTTTTTGTTTGATTTCTACCCTCAGTCCATTTCAGAAAATCACCCAACAAATTGATATTTACCTATTTTCAGATTGGTGCATGTAAAACAATGTTTAAAATAAAATTCCCTCTCATATTATAAGTCGATCAACTTTATCAAGATGTCTTAGCAGGTAACTGTCGGCCAGCTGCCCCAGGATGCATCAAAGTAGATCTACTACACAATGATTTGAATCTAGAATGGACTCAGTACATCATATACCTCTGCCAAGGCCCAATGTTCCGTTAATATTTAATCAACTTGCACCAATTTCACAACCAAAGAAATGAATTTCCTGAAAATGCCAGATTTTCAAGATCCATGAATTATTCCTGGGGTACACGGTGAAAATGTTGTAAACACAACAATGTTAAAGAAGTAGAAAGTAACTTGTGTCTCCCCCCTGATCTGGATCTGCACCAAACTTGATGGGTTCTTCCCTGACCCATGCATCCTTTTGCCAAGTTTGGTGAAGGTCTGTGCATTTGTTTTTGTGTCATTTTGCTTCCTTACAACAGTCAGGGGTGAAAACATAAGCTCCTTGGCTGAGGTAACAAAGACAGTCCGCCTGGGTTCGGACTGAGTGGATTTGCCAAATCTGAACCCGGAGCCGACAGATGTTGTGGAATAACCTCAAGAGAGTCCTTTAAGAGTAGAAGCAGTTCTGTAAAGACGAATGGTTTAATGTCTTTCCTGAACATTGCGCAGGTCTGATCAGGAGCTACTGGAAGAGCTTGTTTGAGGTTATTGCTTCCAAAAGAGGTTCAACCAGTCTATTCAAGGGTTCACTTACTTTTATCACCAGCACTGTGACAGTCAATAGAGACACAAAATAACTGTTTGGCTTGTAAGATTAGCCAGTTGTGTTTGTTTACACTAGTGACTTTGACAAAAATTAGTTTACACTTTAGGAACAATTACTGCAGAAAAACTGTTGACATTATTTTTCTTTGAGCAGCAAATTATCCTTCCAAACTTGTCAGACTTGTACTTGCAACCAGCTCCCTTTTTTCTGATGTGTATATCAGTTTGCCCTCAGGCACTGTGGTGAAAATGCATTCACAAGAGTTCCTGTGGATGTGGTGTGTTCATCTGAGGGGGGAGATGGGCATGACCAACAGCTTGGCATCAGGCCAAAGTGAACCATTATGGGACTTTTCATGTCCTCCGAAACATTTAGCCCTTATGCGCCGTCCTAACACCTTGTCTTCTCATTATCCTAAGGCTCGGCAATTTACCTTAACCCGCAAATGAATAAAGCAGCTACACTTCATTTTAGTGAAGTAACAGCACTTACAGGTGTGGAAGCCAGGGGTCATGAGGTATATACAACCTCTTTGTTCAATCAGTGGGACACAGTCGGAGCTCTGGTTTAGCACTGAACAATGAGGAGAACACATTTTTTTAAATGAGCTGATTCAAACAGCAAAACTGAAGCACTCAAACATGTCCCTGATTAAAAGGAGAACATTCTGAACCTCAAAATGTACTGACCAACAACAACTTGACTGATTATGCAGAACGGTTCATTTCAGCATTATGTGCATATATCACAGATAAACTGTGGATTTGAATCCTTGATGATTTAAGATGCATTTCGTTTTAATGTTGCTGGTAAAAGTGGAGAGTGATTGACAGCCAATATATAAATCATGTTCCCTTAAGATCCAAGCCTTGGTGTATCTGTTGAACAAGTTTTAGAGTAACGTGTGTGTGACGTTGGGAGGACATTTTGGCTGGTCCTCTATAATTAAATGTGCAGTTTGAGAGTTAAGGTTCTCAACAACAGACAGACGTGTGTGTCTGTCACGCCCACAGTCGCGCCTGTCCCTGCGCGCACTAACCACACACACACCGCAGCAGTGACACTCGGACGCAGCAGATCATGTCGAGGCTGAGCGAACATGGGATTCGTCTGAGTTCTGTGCGTATTTCACATTTGGATGAAATAACACGATGCCTGTTGACGGATGATATAAACGGAGCGACTTGTTTTCATGTCTTTTTCAGATGAGTCCTTCCTTCCTGAACAGCAACTCCACCAGTCACACGTGGCCCTTCAGCGCGGTGGCAGAGTTGATAGGTAAAGATGCAACATTACCACCTGACGCGTTGCGCGTTGATTCCTGTGCACCTGCTGCTTTGCATGGTTTCACTTTATCAACTGTTCTGCTGTGGCGCACACTGAACCTTCTTTGTGTTGATGCGCAAATGAAATGTGCGCACTTCCTCTATCACACCCTCAGTAATCTGAAAACTGTCACAGCCTGTCAGCAACATGTTCCTCCATGTTACACTTCACAGCCTTATCACCGCCATGATCGTGTTGTTAAGTCATGAAAAGTCAGCTTTGTTCTATTTATGCTGTTATGCACCTCTTAGCAACAATAATATACTAACTCCAAAAAGAGTGGTCAGGTTGTATTAATAATAATAATGATACATTTTATTTGTGTAGCACTATAAAAAGATACTCAAAGGCACTTAACATGGTAAAAAGAGTGACAGTAAAAACAATAACAGGGTAACATTACAGCAGTTAAAAGTTTATATTAAATTAATAAATCACAGTTTAAAAGCAGATTTAAAAAGGTGAGTTTTGAGTCCAATTTAGAAGAAGGTGAAGGAGTTTATCGTAGCTTCACCATTTTTTTGTTTCATGGTGTAGATCTCTGTATTTCAGTGGGATGAGTTTCACTAGTGCATAAGAGTCACTGAAAAATGTGTGAGCTTTGTCATTCCTCCTTTCATAAGTTCAGACGTGCTGACCTGCTGTTGACTGCTGGCTTTTAGCAGGAAGGACTAGAGGAGTGCAAATGCAGATGCACTGTTGTACATCACAGAGTGCAGAGTTAGGAGCATTAGAAAGGCAAACTCCACTACTGGAAATAGGAAAGAAGTCAATCACCTTTTGCAGCAGATTTTAACACGTGTACCTGCTAATTTTAATGTAAAACAGGTAAAGGATTCAGTGGTGAATCTATATCATACTTTAATATGCATTTGTCTTAATTTCTTTAACTTTTCCTTCAAGAAGTGGCCCCCTATATTTTTCACAGAGGTCATTTTTGACATGCTTCATTAGGAAAAGCACAATAAATAATAAATTGAATGTAACTGCTCCAGTTTCAGAGCACAGATCCAATAATCTGACTAAACTGGATCTGCACAAATACCAACTGCTAGTTGACAGAGGCCATGGTCTTCATCGGTGTGCAGACAGACACTTCCAAATTCAAGATGCTGAACTCTGCTGGACTGAACAAAGTAGAGCTTCAGTCCCCCAACAGCTTCCAATGAGGGAGATGTATGGGCACACATCATAAGGATGGTCACATGACTACTAAAATCAGATTTACATCAACAGACCCTGAGAGACAAGGAGACGTCAAAGAAATTTTAAAGTAGAATGGCACTCAGTAGATGTCAAACCCAAATTTAGCAACATGCATGCAAATAGAAATGCAAACATCCATTGTTAATGTTGTTTCCTACATGTTACAGACAATGCATCAGATCCTGGTGTATCCGCTAAACAGACCTGGATAGATGTAGTTGAAGATGTCGGTCACCTCTGTCTGACGTTCACGGATAATGGCAGCGGGATGACCCCCAACAAACTGCACAAGATGCTCAGGTACATGCAAATGAAATAACAACAAATGAACAGTGTGCTGCATCAGAAATGTTGTCTTTACATTGTCACAGTCATACTGTTCGTTTTTCCATATTTCAATCAGGAGAGACCTTCATTCATTGTTTTAACAAACATTTATTGACATGCACAACGAGAAAGTGATGTGAATGTTATAAGTCTTTTAGCGTTTTAGACCCCTATGTGATGTCATCAGGATTAGAAGGGGGTGGAGCAGAGTATAGGACAGGAATCCTTCTTCTCTTGAGATTGATTGAATGGGGGAAATTCTTCCTGATTGAACTAACGCTGAGCTTCATTTAAAAAACAGAACAGGTCACATATTAGTACACTCGTAAAGACAACACACACACGTTCATTTTCCCACGCCCACACAGTTCACACACAAATAGGTCACTACACTAACACAGAGAGGTTAGGTTGATGAATCAGTCACTACTGCTGCATGTAGTTCATTAAAACAATTTTTTAAAACCGTTATTTCTTCAAATATATATCTTTTTGATGCTAAACATGTTGCAGAATGAAATGAATCATTAACTACAGACCAATACCCACTTTCCTCAATTTCCCCTTCACCTTTGTGTTCAGTTTTGGTTTTACAGACAAGGGCTCAGGCAAAGCCAGTCAGCAGGCCATCGGCTTGTACGGAAATGGTTTCAAGTCTGGCTCCATGCGTCTGGGCCGTGATGCACTCATCTTCACCAAGAATGGTGGCTGCCAGACGGTGGGAATGCTATCTCAGACCTACCTGGAGAATATCAAGGCCCAGGCCATTATCGTTCCGATCGTCCCCTTCAACCAACAAACCAATATCCTTTAAGAATGAGGGAATATTCAGACCATTAGAGTGTGTTTGTTTCATCAGCATATCATCAGTGTGTCATTAATGTAAACCATCAATACCATGATCATGTTGGTGACTTGTTAAAAATCTACATGTCATTGACTTGAATGAGCTGAAGATATCGGGAAATGAATGTCCGGACACTTTCTCATCTGCTTTGTATGGGTTTTGCCCTTCAGATAAATTCATAAATGCCATTCACCTCTAGTTGTCAAAGCATAATGCTCAATGTTACATTTACATTTTATAAAATTATATACATGTATTATGGTTGTAAATAGTTTTTACTTGAAATGTATATATATTAAATATATATATATATTTACTTGATATATATATATGCTTTTTTATAGATAGGACTTTGAGACCAATTGCAGACAACAGAAAAAGAAGCAGAGGCGGCTTGCAGGATAACTTGTTGTAATAGCATAACATTACAGTGGCAACAAAATTGAAGGAACTGGTTCATTCATTTTCTCCATTCCAATGGAAAGACAACTTTTCTCTATGCACTTCATTCAAAAAAGTGATGATGACAGGACGTACATATAACAAAATTCTTACGCATGCTCCCTAAATTGCAGAGTAAAACCAAAACTTACCAGATCAACTGTAAACAATGTAACAATGACATGAACCTGGGTTCTGACCTTGGTCTGTGTGTCGGCTTACATGCTTCCTTTATATCCTAACCTAAAGGGATTGTTCACCCTAAAACAAAAATCTGAAAATTCAGAAAATGCCTCCATGCTTCTCCTGTGGTGTCATCCAGGTATCAAAAAGCCCCAACATTCAAATTCCACTCAAAGCAGAGTCATTGACACCATGTTTTCAGCCTAAATGTCTGCTGTGATCCACGCATGAACGCGGCTCCAGATCTCAGGTCCTCATCATCGCCGGCCATGATTCTACAGTAGCCCAGAATGAACACACTAAACAGTGAAGACGACCGTTTGTATGTGTCTTTACCTGAAGGCCACTGCAGAATCTCTAACGCTCCTGTAAAGGAAGTAGTGAGGCGATGGGGACTCAGTTGGATGTAATGTGTAACCTCCTCTCTGGATGTTCTGAATCTTACACATTGGTCCTTAAACCCAGAGTCACAGTCGTTGGTGGTGACAGAGGACTCAGAGGCAAGTCTGGCAGCCATTCTCAAACACTCCATCGTCAGCACCCAGGAGCAGATCCATGCACACTTTGCCTCCATTCTCTCCAAAAAAGGCACCAAGATATTAATCTGGAACATCCGCAGGTAGGAGTCACACGTTTGCTCGAAGGATTTTTTTTTTTTTCATGCATGTTCATAGTTCAAACTTTTATTCAGTTCTTTCAATAAAGGGAGTTAGCTTAGCTTGTCATTTGATATCTTCTTTTGGAACAATTTAACATGTATAAATGACATTGCTCAGAGCCCGGATAGCTCAGTCGGTAGAGCATCAGACTTTTAATCTGAGGGTCCAGGGTTCAAGTCCCTGTTCGGGCGGTACTTGTTTTGGTGATTTCCCGGTTGTGTTGATCAGTCAACTTTTATCTTATCTTGTGAACCTGCATCTGATTCTTGTTCTATCATGCCTTTAGACAAATGTGTGCCAGGAATCATACATTTAAATAAGAACCTTCATATGAAGATCATAGAAAGTTTGAAGGTTCTGTTTTACTTAATTTTTACATGATTACAGAGAAAACCATTGTTGTGTAATGATCAGAATCATCAAATACTTAGTGCTGCACTAATACATTTCACCCAGCTACAAATAATTCAAAGCAAAACCAGTGATTTTATATCAAGATGGATCACATGTCTCTATTTCCTACCATCGTACAAAAGTGAAGCCAAAATAGCCCAGATACAGGTGCTGCCATCTTGTGCTAATGACACTTGTAAATCTGTGTAATAAGAACTTCCTAAGATGACAGAAACCATCTTGGAAAAAATTAGCCTTTAGGTAAATTTAAGTTGTACCTAGTTTGTTAACACAGAGGGAGCAGGGTCTAAAACATGTAATACAGCCAGCCACCAGGAGGTGATCAAGATGATTTAGCTTCAATGTCATGTCATCCATCTTTATACACTGTCACTGGGCAAAACTCATTTAATGCTTACCTGCTTCCTTTGATATTATCTTGAAGGGCCAAGGATGGTAAGCCGGAGATCGACTTTGAGACGGATGTGAGTGACTTCCGTTTACCTGAGATTCAGATCGAGGAGATGAAGAAGGGATTGAGGAACAGTGCCACACAGAACCTCCCCGACATGCACTTCAGTCTCCGGGTGAGTCGAGGGTAAAATATCCCGTGTGTTCACTAAAACAGAGGTGATGGTGGTTGAGATATAAGTTTGGTTAATTTATCTAATAATTCATAAAACACATTAGCAACAGATTTCTATTTTATATGTAAAATATATCACTTTTACATTTTGTGTGTTTGCCTCAGGCCTACCTCAGTATTTTGTATCTGAAGCCAAGGACACAGATCATACTGAGGGGGAAGAAGATTAGTACCAAGTTGGTGTCGAAGAAGCTGATACACACTGAGCATGACGTGTACAAACCCCACTTCAGTGTATCCCTTTGCTAACTGTGTGTGTTTGTGTGTGTGAGTAAGTGACAGAAGGGAAAATGCAAACTAAGTCATGTGAGTTTTGTGTCAGTTTTGAAATCATATTTAGTCACATCATTTTCATATTTCATTCAGACAACTCATGTTCAACTGTTTATTGCAGCATTAGAACATAGTTTGTGTTTGGCGTCTAGGCTTCAACTCAATCATTCCCCCGATATGATTACACAGATATGGTGGGAGTGACGAGCAAATACTTATAACCCCCCCCCCCCCCGAAGGCTACAGGTGGTTGCTGGGGTGGTGGAGGGGCTGAAACAACTGGTAGGGATACTGCAGAAGCAAATTTCTCTCTGCCTAATAAGGTGGATTTGTATAATAGATGATTGTGGAGAATGAGATATGTCACATGATGTGTGTCACATGATTGGAGCAGGGCAGCTCGAGTTGGCTGCCTGAAGTAGTTTGCAGGGTTCACACCATTTGTCCTATATTTGACACATCCTCTCATCTCCTCTCAAGAAATGCATGTGGAGAATCAGTAGCCCAAGTGGATTTTTTTTCTTACTGCAAAATGCAATATTCCAGCACTGTTAACCTTTACTGATGTGTGTCAGAAAGAGAAGGTGAAAGTGACGTTTGGGCTGAATCTAAAAAACAAAGATCACTATGGAATCCTGATGTATCACAAGAACCGACTCATTAAAGCCTATGAGAAAGTGGGCTGCCAGCTGAAGGTAAGGCTGTATATCTTCACACACGAGTGGTCTGCTTTCCTCCATATTTATTCTTAACAGATATTTTCTTCTTCTTAAATCTCACTCCCCAATGTTCTGCAGGGTTCAGGCCAAAGAGCAGGAGTCGGCGTCATTGGCATCATCGAGTGTAACTTTCTCAAACCTGCTCACAACAAGCAAGACTTTGAGTACACCAAAGAATACAGGTACAACACACGATGTCAGACGTCTGCAAGAGCTTTATGCTAAAGTTGACGCATACAGAATAGAAAGCAGAAAATAATGCCACAAACTGTATTTACAAAGTTATGACCCATGTAGTTCCTGGATGTGCTTCTGCAAATTTGAGTGTTCTAATTTAGAATAGCAGAAATAGCAGAGTATTTTTCAAGTAATTTTGGCCACACTATCTTGTTTTGGTTCATTGAAACAGCCTTATCAAGAAATATTTTTTTTAAAGTATTTTCCTTTTGTCCTCTTTTAAGACTCACGCTCGGTGCTTTGGGCCTAAAACTCAACGACTACTGGAAGGAGATGACAGAGAAGCTGTCGAGAGAGCGAGAGTTTCAGGCTCTCGACTCCAGAGAAGAAAAGGAAGATGAGCAAGACGCAGATGAGTCAGTGTTGATTGTTTTTTAATTTTTAATTGTTGTGAAAAGAGAATATTCCTCTGCTACAAGTATCTTCATAACATAACACTCTCCCGATATCAATCCACTGAATTCATTCTGTTTTTAAATGTACATTTATCATTTATCTTTCTGTGTTTACTTTGTATAAAATATTTTTGGGTTTCATGAAGGGAGCCTCAATCTAATTATTATTATTAAAGCATTATTATTAAAGCACATTAAAAGGCATCATCTGCCTTTTAATCTGCACACATTACTAAAGCCACTGGATGTTATATCAACCCTAGATTAATTAATACTGTAATATACAAAGAGGTGGATAATCTAGCGTCTGCATCTATCATGTAGGAACTTTAAAATGAATGGGTAAGTGCAACTTTTCCCCCCAAACACTCTTGAGGAGGTCAAACAAGATGAAGAGATAATTTAAAATATATTCATAATGAGAGGACTGTCCCTTTAATCCCACCTGCTGGCTGCTTTAACAGACAGTTCTCAAAAAGCAGGATCTGAAAGTCTGCCAAACTCTGTCAAAGTGGACCACCCAAATAAAGGCCCCTTCCGTGTGTACGTCTGTGTTTGCAGGGGTCCCATGTGGCTCCAGTGTGAAGAGTGTCTGAAGTGGCGCAGCGTCCCTTTGAGATTTTACAGTGACGTTCCTGAGAGGTGGGACTGCAGCCAGAACCCAAACCCACGTTACAAGTGCGTTATTGCCCTCGCAACACACAACCTCACAACACAGTTCCAATCCAAAATAAATGACTCGAGGCATCTCCATGCGTTTTAACAGAGAGTGAGTGTGAGTGTGTTTGGCTGTAGTGAGGCTTTTTGTTGAACTTCAGTAGTTTAAATTAGGTTTTAATGACTTTCAGAAGCTGCTCATCACCAGAGGAAGCAGACGAGAGTGAGAAGATGCTCTCGCCCAGCTACCAGAAAAACCACAAGAAACAGTAAATGTCTATTTCTGTTCTCAAACATGCAAATGTACGTGTGTGCCTGTCAAAGTATATATGTATGTATCTGTGTGTGCATGTTATGTCATCTCAGTTCTCAGAGAGTCAAAGGGTTCTGAGAGAAAGTTTCTCATTGATCATTTATGTTGATGATAGTTAAGTTATTAAAACATTTTCTGAGCACCGAATAGATTTTTTGAAGTATAGCATGTTTGTTTCGGTATAACTACCCAGAAATATGATTGATCAAACAAACTGACCATTACCTGCACATGCAGCACTGTGTGTAGCACCATACAAAGAACCGCAGACATCAGCCAGTTAAACCTCTACTGTATATTGAATTATATTTTGTTCTGATTTTCCTACAGAGACCATCTCAAAAGCAGAAAAAGAGAAAGATCAGAGGAGGTATGTGAAAAGTTTTCTCTGTATAGTCTATCACTTATGAACATGTGTTTTTAAATGTGTTTCTTCATTTGTGTGTTGCAGGTGTGTGACTTCCAGGACCAAGTGGTAAAACATCAGATCCTCTCACGTTGTTCATCAGAGCCAATTCAGCCCACGTACCAGTTTACACACGCACCTGATAGATGCCACAAAGAGGGAAACACATATGAAGATGATCAGACATACACAGATTATCACGCAGACACACACACAAGTGATGAGGCACAGACAAAAAACAAGGTGATGGCCGAACTCCTGCACACACAACAGAAGTCCGTTGTAAGAATCAGGGTCGTTAAAGACAAGGTGAAAATCTCACTAGGACAGGTGGACGAGGAAAGTGGCACAAATCCTCAGAGAGCTGAAAGTGAAGAGACGGACAGAAAGAAAGATGCAGATGTGGCGAGAGAAAAGGACACAGACATATTAAGGTGAGACATAAGGTTGTAAGTTCAGAACCACAGACTTTATATATCGATGAACGACACGAAAGCTCCCATAATTGAAGCCAAAGCGTCTCGGTCGCCACCTGGTGGTTGACTGCAGTACAGGCCGTAAATTCTGCCTCCTCTGTGTTGACAGATGTGACAAGGTCCAAACTAAAAAAATCAAAGTCAGAGGGAACTGGCTCCACACGTAGACCCAGCCACACAATGGCTTGGCTTGTTTTTGGGATATTTTGGCTTCATTTCTGAATAGTGGGAGGAAGTGTCATCTATCTTTATATACTGTCTATGATTCACACTAGAATAATCAAACAACCTGTATATTCTTCAGAAACATTCTCAAAAGCACTCTTTAGGTTTTAGGTGTTGACTTAAATATATTTAAGTTTCGAATGAAAAGCTATGACAGAGTTGTGTTGTTGGTCACCTTTGTGTAGGTGTTTGGTCAGAAAATACTGTTAATTTGCACTTGTTTAAAAGTAATGAAGATGATTTGTATGTTATTGTTATTTAGTTAGCCCCTTAAATTATTAATTCATTGATTAATTTTAGAAATGCGTTACCACTGACTAGAGACGAAACAAGTAGGTGATTTTTCTATTACAAACAAATGTATGGTGAGTCACAAATATAGGGTCTTTTTTCAGCAGAATTATCACTCAACAGTAGTATATATTTGACAATAAAATTAAAACCCATGAAATGTTCAGTGTTATTGATAACTTGTATGATAAAAGAAACTCACTAGTATCTGTTCTTTGTAGCCCCAAGAGGAAATTTTTATTTAACTGTGTGAGGAAGAAGTCATGTCTTTTGGAGGAGCGACTGCCTGACTCAGAGAACATGGCAGAGGAGATGAACCCTGAAAAGCCAGCATGTGTGTCGGAGACACTTTCCTCAGAGAAAACCAATCAGGACAGTTGCTGGCGGATGGAAAAACCAGGTGGTACAGAGCAGGAAACCCCCCTTAACCTCACCTGGTATCACTCCCCGCCATCCACACAGACCAGGCCGCTGCATCTCAGAGCGAGTGAGCAGGAGGCTTCAGTACAAAAACTGGCCGCTTTAGAGAAAGAGGTTCAGGAGCTGCGGAGGCTTCGTGGTCGAGAACACACAAAAACATCTCGAGGAACAATGACAACTGCTGGAAACGGCTCTGAAAAACTCCCAGCAGCCACAGCGAGCAGAGAGGTCGGCTGCCAGACAGACATGGCTGAGGTCAGCAGAGTTTATATCCATCAATTACAAAACTTATAACATCGTCTCATACATTTGAAGTGTTTTTACTGTCTGGTGTAGTTTGTGGTTTGTTTATTGTAAAATACCCAAGGACATGATTTAGTTTGAATTATTTTTGAAGCAGCTTCACACTGTTAATGTAACCTCATATAAACAGATCAGGTGACATGCTCATATAATTACACTCTTAGGAAAATCCTACTGAATATAACTTTGACCATAACATTCACATATGAGAGGTTTGAAAATGCTTTATTCTAAATGTATTAGAATTATTCATCTAAATATGCTCAGACTCATTAATCCTGCATGAGCATCGAACAGAAAACTTCTGCCTTCTCTCCATCTCTGCACCAGAGCTCTGCTTCATCCAGCCACCCGGCCCTCATCCTGGTCCAGGATCAGAGAGCAGTGTGTGGACTGAAGGAGCAGCCCGAGGAGAACAGACTCAGGAAGGAGAAGACTGAAGCTCAGAGCAGGACGAGGGTCAGTGACTGCGAGGCCTGTGAAGACAGCAGGTGTGTATGTTCTGCAGAGACAAACACATGCAGTTACGTACACAGGCTCCACTAACTTTAAGAATGGCACTAAATAAAGTTAAATCTCCTCCCCCCTCCTCAAACAGATCGGCTCAGGAGAATCTGCGTGGTGTCCGTCACAACATGGTGGTGCTTCTCACGGCTCTGCTGCCTCAGCTGGACCTCACTGGCATCAGTCTGGAGACGACGGACGTGGACGATATCCTGCAGCAGATCATAGAGGTCAACTCACTGAAACTATGATCACTCTTCTTATTATATCCTGCAGATTTCTGATATTGGTGCCTTTAAATTTACCCAAAGTTTGGTCAATAAAACTTCAGTCCAATCTGATAATAATTAATAATTATTATTTGTCTCACTTGGAAAGTTATTCTCATGTAAAAAAAATTTCATTACTGGTTGTTATGGACGAACTCTGCAATATAATATTTGTATGTCACATTATTATATTTTCTCAGTGTGCTTCAAATTACATGACAGAAATATGTATATAAGTATACAATTCTTCTAATACAAAAATCTGTGACAGACATGAAGGTAAAGTGAAGAGCAGTTGTAATTTATCTTGTTGGGACTAATTTTGATATCCCCACTCATAAAAATTAGTTATCCATAATTACATCATTTATCCATATTTACTGTAATGGTCAAAGTTTTGAAAGTCAGACTACATATATTGATCCTTTTTTCCATATTATATCTGCTGCTCATTTACTTTATCATGTACTTCTTGATCTAAACTTGTGTTTTTATTGGTTTTCTTTAAAAAGTGTGATATTCTGCTGTTATTTGTTCTCCCTGCTTTTTTAACTATTTAACTATTATATTACTTTGTTTTATACACGTGGTGAAATTATTCTGTCAGAGTCATAAAATAATGCTTTTTTATAGACTCACATATAAGTTATAAACACGACGCTTAATATTTGCCATAGAATATTTAAACCATGTGATGTATATTTTATCACTGCACTGAAAAATGTGCTAGTTATGCAGTACCTATTATTTGCCATAAGGTGGCAGTGAAGGCGAGTAATAAAACATGGTTCTCTCACATGTCTACCGTGAAATTGTATTATTATTATGTCGACCTCTGAAATCCTTACAATTTATTTTTTGTTTGATGCTTTTGTTTTAACCACCATTTCTCTAGCAACTAGCTTCCCAGGGTATCAGACATTTGAGTCTGTAGTCAGTAAAGGACACTGAATTGGACTATGATCTGTTCTTTAGATGCCCGAATCTTATTATCCTCTAATATGTATCCACACTACAACCTCTCAGAATGAATCATCTGTTGGATTAGATACAATAGGTACAAAACATACTCTGTATATTGGACAAGCAAACTTTGGACACCAGGAGCAGTGGCCACAACAGTGCTTACTTTAAATGAACACTTTATAAAAGGTTTAGAAACTGTAACAAATGTCACTCATTATGTATTCACCACTTTGGGTGGGTGAAGTGTTTGAGTTCACGGAACACTTTTGGAGTTTCAAGGGTAAACAGTGTTGCAACCAAATCCAATTTAAGTCAATGGTGACCACTTCTTCAAATGTAAAAAGAAACTACAGAAAAAAAAGTCTCCATACTTGTAGTGTCCTGTGGTGTCTTCTAAATGTCCGTAAGCTCTGACATTGGCATAGTGGTGAGTAGATATGAAGTGAAGTTTCATTTTTGGGTGAACTATCCCTTTAATATGAGCAGCTCTAAATGCTAACACTCCATTCATTAAAACGTTCCCACTTTCAAAGATGTTATCAAGTATGTCGTTTATTTTCACAACCAGCATGATAACTATATAAACATGACTCATTTATGGAGCAATTAGTAAATCCCCATTGTTCTGCAGCTCTGGTGAGTCCTCGTGTCTCTCCCGGGTCATCTAATCTACACACACACACACACGCGCACGCACACGCACGCACACACACACACGCACACACACGCACACACACACCTCCAGTTTCCCTGCTCCCCTCCCTCTCCCCCGGTCTTTAAAGCCTGCAGCCCCGTAGCAGAAGCTCCAGACCCGGGCTCCTGCTCGTGTAGTTGACCGCTGATCATCACGATGACAGCTGTTCTTCTGTCGCTGCTGCTGCCTCTCATCTGCGCCTCCGCCGGACAAGCTCCGCAGCCGCAGCGAGCCTCCGCAGTGAGAGATTATTTCATCGCTGCTGTGGAGATCGGCTGGGATTATATCTACCTGGAAGATGGTGACTCCGTCCAGAGGTGAACACTTCTTTGTTGAACTTCAGCGATCTGTCCCGTCTGTGTTCATGCTGTCATTTTATAACTCAGTGTTCAAAGTTTATTAATCAGTTCAATTCAGTGTCAGTGTATTAAGTCCTGTTACTTTAATTAAAAGTCATGTTTTTCAGAAATGTATTAGAAAATGTTTTAAATATTGTCAACTGAACCAATGTGTTTTTTTAGATGAATGGTATTATTATAATAATTATAATAACAATTATTATTATTATTATTATTACAAGTGAGACATGGTGAAAGCAAAGTGAGGAAGTGTATACCTCAGATATTTTAAATGTTCTGCTGCTGTCATTCCCGCTCTATCAGCATAAAACCACAATAATAATAATGGGCTTCTTTTATTTTGTATTATTCTAACTTTGGAGTTGGTTTCACTGTGCTTGGTTTTTTAGAGGGAGATCCGGAGACATTCCTCAGAAATACATCAAGGCAGTTTACAGGGAGTACACAGACTCCACATACACTGCCCCCAAACCCAGAGCAGCGTGGACAGGTGGGTGTTCTTCAATCATGGGCCACACTTCTTCTAGCCTCGTTCTGTGTCATAATCACATGTAGATGATATAGATAATAGTCTATCAATGGCCAGTAAACTGTTAACCAAGTATTTCTGAACACATGAAGGAAGAAACAAAAGATTGGGAGCTTGAGGAGATGCAACACATACACCTCAGATTTGTAAAAGTTTTTGGTGTTGTTTATCACAACCTTCACTTTGGATTGAAAATCAGCCTTTTAACTGAAAAGATAATGTGACATTTATTGGGATAATTATCGATATCTACTGATATAAACATGTTTATCTTAATATCATTTTGCCATATCGTCCAGCGCTAAACAAACCCTGATAGTTTCTATTCTGATTCAGAGCATGTTTCTTCTTTTTCTTGCTGCTCTTCTTCTCCTCATTCTTCTTATTGTGAATTCTTAAAGTAAGTTGTGTCTGTTGGTTGCAGGTATTCAAGGTCCTGTGATCGTGGCTCAGGCCGGTGACAGGGTGGTGGTCCACTTTAAAAACCTGGCCTCTCAGCCGTACAGTATCAGCCCTGTGGGGATCACCTACTGGAAACAGGCTGAAGGTACTAAGAGAACTGAGTGAGCTGAACGAACATTTAAACTGTGTGAGATCACAAGCTGTACATTAGTCAGCAGCATTCTGTTCTTCTTGGTCTAATAGTGAGCAACTACCTGACTCAGCTTTTTGACTCATACTTGTTTTTTTTAAATATGAAGTCCCAACAACAGGAAAATGGAAAAACCACAGAACCCTATAAGAGTAACGTTCCAGTGAAGATGTGACTTAGATTGAATGTCAATCTGTTTGAGTCAAAAGTGAATAAAGACTCAGAAAAGTGAAAAAAGAATCGGTTCATGGAAATGTCAAGGTTGTTAATGTACCTTCAATCTAATTATTGGCAGAAACTAACATTAACTAACATCAGATTCTTTAGAAACTGCAGCGGTCAACCGTTATCATTATCTTGTATGTGCAGATTCTGTGCAGCAAGTTAGAGCCAAACTTTTTTTTACAGCACTAAAAAAAATCGGCACAAAACCCACACTCACAGAAATCCAATGAGGTTAACATTTATAATTTGACATGCTTCCTGACCACCAACTAGGCAATGATTGAACATCCCTGATGAAAGAAGCTTTTAAAGGTTAATCCCACTCACAGCAGGCGCTGGCGTTTGTCATAATTCTGCTGTAGATGAAGAGTCAGCCAGTTCCTGTAAAACAGCTCATGTCTTCCTGTCAGTGGTTAGATTCTTACAACAGAGTTTTTCATAAGCTGAAAAGCTGCTCCCATCACGTCCAGGAATAATGTTTCATGAAGTAAATCTCATCTCACTCGAATCACAGGAGAGGAGAGGTTAGTTTCTTTTCAATTGTGATTTATTGATTGATTTAATAAATTATTTACTTGTTTATCATTTCTATCTGGCCATGTTACTGGAGGATTTTTTTTTACCTCTGCTAATTATTGTTTGTAAATTTATGTTTTTCACCTGTGTGTTTGTTTTTAGCAAAATTACACAAAAACAACTGGGTGGATTTTCACCAAACTTAGTGGGAGGAAGTGATTAAGATTCCTCTTTATTGTCCCACACACAGCATGCAACATGCAAACATGGGGAAATTTGATCTCTGTATTTAACCCATCCCTGTGAACACAGCACATACAGTGACCGCACGGAACAGTGGGCAGCCATGAAGGCGCCCGGGGAGCAATTGGGGGGTTCAAGGGCAGCTCAGCAGTGGTATGGCCCAGGTATGGCCCAGGAGGTGAACTTGCACCCTCTCCAACTTCTGTCCATGCTGGACTTGAACCGGCCCCCCTCCGGTTCCCAAGCCAAGTCCCCAAGTCTCTATCGACTGAGCTACTGCCTCAGTGGGAGGATGTGATATCGGTCAGGGGAGAACCCATAAAATGTTGGAGCAGATCTGGATCAGGGGTCAAATCCAGGATTTTTTAAATGATCATGCTCCTTTATCTCAAAGAGGATTTTTTTTATTTCATCTTCCAGTGACAATATTTTTCCTGCTTTCACCCTCTTCTACTTCTGAATGAATACAGATGAGTCACAATGTGTCTCCTCTCTCCAGGAGCCGGATATGATGACGCCACAGTGGGTCAGGAGAAGGAGGATGACGCCGTCGCTCCAGGAGGATACTATGAGTACGTGTGGGACATCAGCCCCAAAGACGGACCCACCAGCAGTGACCCCGACTGCCTCACCTACTCCTACTCATCCCAGGTGGACGCAGTGCGAGACCTCAACACGGGACTCATCGGTGCCCTGCTCATTTGCAAATCAAGTCAGTATTTTGAGGAGCAAACAGCAGCTTTGATCTGCAATGATCAGAGACTCACAGAGAGAATTTCTTAGCCTTTCTGTTCTTTCAAAATAGCCTTTTTTTTATCTCTGGCATTTTATAGTTTATGGTTTGTATTTATCTTGCTCTTTTGCCATTCTGTATGGCTCCTGGTTGGTGGTTTGATCCCCAGCACCTCCAGTCTGCATTCAGAAGAGTCCTTGGGCAAGAACTCAAAACTACCTTTGACACCTGTGCCTAATCATACATCAATTATGTTTAATGCTTGCATCGTGTGTTCTTCCTCAGGTGCCTTCACAGAAGAAGGCCAGAGGAGAAATCCAGCGTTCGTCCTGTTGTTTGCTGTGTTCGATGAGACGAAGAGTTGGTACGGAGCGGTAGGAGAGAGGATCAGCAGAGAGAAATTCAAGAGGAGCTACGGCAGGAAGGAATACCACACCATCAATGGATATGTCAACTCCACGTTACCTGGTAATGCACCAGACTGGAGTTTGTTCCATGAAGTCGCGTTGTAATGTTAAGTGTTGCCAACACTGTGCTCGGTGTATCAGTGGCTGTGTTGAGTGTTGTCTGCACTGGAATTTGGCCTCATTTTCTCTCCCCTCTCTCTATGTGTGTGTGTGTAGGTCTGACAATGTGTCAGGGCCGTAATCATGTGTTTTGGCATTTGATTGGTTTGGGCACAACACCAGAAATCCACTCCATTCAGTTTCAGGATCACTCGCTGCAGGTAAATCAAGTCGTCACATAAAAGTCAGCCACAGATAACAGGTAGAATTGCACTCAGTAGAGCACATGCCACTGCCAAGACAGTCCCCTTTAAATTCAGTCAAGCTGCATCAAATATCACACACTTATACATATCCGAATTATTCCTTGATAAATCAGTGAAAATGTAAAAGAAAGTGAGAAATAGATCCTGGATCCACCCCATGATTTGGTTCGGCACAAAGGAGTTCCAACGAGTTCTTCCCTGACACCATACTGCATCCGTCCACCAAATTTCATGGTAATCCAGCCTGCAAATTTTGCATAATCCTGCTAATTTACAGATAAACAAACAGAAAAACAAATGCAGATGGAAACATAACCTCCTTGGCCGAGGTAGAAATGTTTTGGGCAAAATCTTAAACATGTGAAAAAGTGAAATCAAATGAAAGTTTTATATGTTTACTTCAAAGTCAAAATAGAAAAATAACCAGTGCGTAAAGTAAGTAATGCTTAAAACCAGACATATCAAAAGTATGAAGCACTGTGTTAAATGTGTTGTTATAGTGGAATAGTAGGCTTCTATGATAGAATAAACAGTCTAAAGTATGCAACATAGCAGATGGTGTAATTGTTTATTTCTTCTCTATACTCAATTTAGTTTTTGTTTGAAAAATAGCAGATAACGATAAAATGGATGACATTTATTTCATATTTATTTTCCTGTTTTTTAACAAACTGCGTTGCCTAAAATCGATTGCCTCTGCTTTGATTTTCCAGGTGTTGACTCATCGTAAAGTGACGATGGAGGTGACTCCCATGACCTTCATCACAGCCGAAATGAAACCCGCTAAGATAGGCCACTTCCTTATCAGCTGTCAGATACATGCTCATCGCCACGGTAACGACAAACATCTGTTACTCTGACGAAAATGTATTTTATCTCTTCAATCTGAGTCATAACTGCAGTTGTCATGGTGCACCGCTGCTCCCCCCAGATGGTATGAATGCCTTGTTCACGGTGGAGAAATGCCCCGAACCCGTCAGACCGCCTGACCTGCGTAAAGTGAAACATGAGGATTACAGCGATGGCGAAGACGACGAGGATGGAAATATGTTCAACACCATCAACTTTTCGTCCAAAAGACAACAAGTGCAAGTGAGATCCAGCGGAGGACAGAAGTCTGTTACCTGGAAGCATTATATCGCCGCTGAGGAGGTCACCTGGGACTACGCTCCTCATCTAGAACCCACAGACAGGTCGGAACAATGGAGGTGGAAGATCAGGAAGTGAGTCGCCAACCTGATTTGAATTGTTTGTGATGGAAGTTTCTGTCTCCTTTCTTGGCGTCGTCAGTAAGTTGCAGTCTGGATATTTGCCTGCGCCTCCTCATCACCTGGGTTACAAATATAAAAAGGTGGTGTACGTAGAATACACAGACGCATCTTTCACTAGGAGGAAGAACCCTGACGGGCTACTGGGTCCTCTTCTGAAAGGAAAAGTCAACGACCAGTTTCATGTGAGTGAGTTGGTTCATGGGAATTATGTGAATGAAAAATGTGAGACAAAACAAAAGAAAAGATGATTGTACAAAAAACTTGAAGGTCCTGTTATGACTGTATTTATCTTATATTTGGTTTAAATTGTGTCTCCAGATCATTTTCAGAAACCTGGCCAGTCGCTCCTACAATATCTTCCCCAATGGCCTCACCAAGATCTCTCCACTGCAGAGAACCACAAACGGTGAGACTAAACAACAACAGACGTAAACCAACAGACAGCATCATTTAGCTCTAATATCCCTGGTTTAAAAGACATCTTGAACATCCTGAGCTCATTCAAGGTTGTGTATTTTTTAATGAAAATGAATATATGAAGAGAAACAATATCAAGAGGGATTTTCAAATGGTTCAAGGGTTTGATTGGAACACTTAAACAGCTTCTCTGGAGAACCACACCCATATTGAGCTGGATTATTTGTTTCACAACACCATCACATATTTGCAAGCCAATCCCTGATCGTTTGTCAATGTAAACAAAGTTCTTGCCAACTGACATCCAAACACATACTTTTGTAACCAGAGATGCCGCTCGGCTATTACAGCACATAAGCTAACAGTCAAGCTAAATCACATTTAATTTGATGAGTTCATTTATGTCCGAAGCCTCACGATAAATCTAAAAAATGTCTTTAATATTATCTTATAAAACGATAAGAGAGCAACTATTACATTACATGAAATTTAAAAAAAGTATAAATGGAATGAAATTGTTGAAACAACACAAAGAAAACATTCATTGTCTCTGGAATTATCTAATTTCTGATGCCAAAAAACTTAAAACATCGATTCCAATGTGAGTTTTATAATGCTATAACCACATTACAACTGTGCACACCTTGGCATTAGAATCATATATTTGTAATATACTACTGAGTGTAAATACACAAGGGAATGATTTGACAAGAGACTTTAAGCTAATAAAATATCTGTAATGATTTAAGATCATGTTTTAAAGTTGCAACTTATGAAATTCTGCTGTTTTCTGCTGTATCACCTCAAAAACTCCTAACATCACAATTAAATCAATTTCCTCTTATTGAACAGATGCAGAGAAGGACCTGCGCTCTATGGGTGTCCCTCCCAATGCAACGTTTGGCTACATCTGGATGCTAACGACAGATGATGGGCCTTTGGAGGGGGACCCCCAGTGTCTGACCCAATTGTATCAGAGCACCGTCTCACAGGAGAGGGACTTGATGTCCGGGCTGGTGGGCACCCTGCTCATCTGCAAGTATGAAGCTATCGACACCAGAGGACGCCTGGTGAGAAGAATCTGCAAATGATCCAAAATTATTTGAAAGACATCTTTTCAAAATGTGACTTAATATCTCATGTCTCTTTTACTGGATCTGTTGCTACACACAGTTGGGCCCAGATAAAGAGTGGAGCTTGATTTTTGCTGTGTTTGATGAGAACAGAAGTTGGTACTTTAATGAAAACATGGAGAAGTCCAAACAGAAGTCGAACATCACCGACCCTGAAGTCTACGACTCCAACGTCATTTACAGTGAGTTCATGTTATATGTTTGTTTCTTCTTAAGGATAAGTGGAATTAATATCAGTTTTCAACATACACTATCATAACTACTTTTAATGTCCTCCTCTTCTAGGTGTGAATGGATTCATGTTCAGAGGGCGTCAGTTTGTGATGTGTCAGACTGATGTCACCTTCTGGCACGTGGCCAGTGTGGGCACCCAGAGCGACTTCCTGTCCATTTACTTCACAGGAAACCTGTTTCAGTACCAAGGCCTCTACCAGTCCGTCCTCACCCTGTTCCCCATGACTGGCATGACCATTCCCATGGAGACTGAGCTGACAGGTGAGGTTTTGAACATGTAGAAATCTAATTTCTAATAATAACTTTTGAGACAGTACCATGTTTCCCCATTAGTAATGTCACAGAGCAATGTTTTTAGAAGTGGATCCCCATTTTGTGCATGTCCATGTGCACACTGATGATACACATTTGTGCCAATAGAATCACACTATTCCACTGATAAAATACATAACATTGTGCATCATTTGAAACCCCTGGTGGTAGCTTAATAAAAGAATCCCATTTGTCATAATCCACAAATAAGGTATATTCGCAAGAAAGTTCCTCTTCTGTGAGGCAAAGAAAACTTTTCACATTTTTGGAGCATTGAGAGTTAATGCCTCTTCCCAGCTTTGACACCATAGATTGTATTGGTTGAGAAATATCAAGGCTACATGCTACTGTTCTTTCCACTAAGAAAGCGTCATGATTGGGCACACATGAAAACAATAGGTGTTGATCTTCAGGAGTTGTACAAGTGTACATAGGCAATTAGGCTTCCTTTGTTTCTTGAAGACATTTGACCTTTTCCTTTCTCTTCTCTTAGGTGAGTGGGAGATCAGCGCTTTTGATGGCAACCTGAAGAGCCGAGGGATGACCATCAATTACAGCGTTCGCCTTTGCGAAAACTCATTATTCGATCGAGATGAAGATGAAGATATCTCTGACTATATTGATCAGATCGATCTGCAACCAAGAGGCAGTAGACCTCAAAATCACACAGTTTTGATGAAGGTATGCAAGGATGATAACAGCACTCTGTCAGGAAACTCTACAGGACAAAATGGAACTCACGCTAAGGGACAGAAAATATGTCAGCTGAAGAGAGTCACAGTAACATCAGCACAAGGACAAAACCCAGACAAGGAGTCAGAGGGAGGAATCCCATTGGACATCTTGGAGGAACTAAATGGAGATGGGGGGTGGACAGATACTAATGAGACTGGACCTGGAGGTGGCAGACAGAGAAGACAGGCGGAGGGAAACTGGACAGATGGAGACATCAGCTCTGGAGCCTCAGAGGATGGAGGAGCTGAGCTGGAGATTGGTGGAGGGATTGTCGGAAACATCACGGACACTGGTGCAGAGGTAAAGTCTGAGGAAAGAAGTGACATGCCAAGTGAAGAGATTGGGTCAAAGGAGGAGCTTGAAGAGAGTAACGAGATCTCACTAAACAGCACCCCACTGCTGACAAGGAAGTTGGTAGCTGAGGAGCCAAGCACTTCAGAGGAAATAGAGAAAAACTTTGTTTGGAAAAACCACATCCAGTCTGGGCCTGAGGAAGTAAGAGTGGACCTGGGACACGACTACTACTCTTCTGACTATAATGATACACAAATAGATCTGTCTCTAGAATATGATTTCTACGGCCAGCAGGTACTATTTTCTATCTGTGTCTTATACATTTATTAAGTATAATTAATTCCAGATACCATGAACCCAAACTCTCCCGGCTCACCTATACCAATGTAAATATTTTTTGTAGGAGAACAGAACAAACAATATCTTTGCCTCAGTTAGCGTGGACCCACGCTCTGGAGGGACCAGATATCGTACTTACTACATCGCTGCAGAGGAGATCCAGTGGGACTATGGCATCAGAAAACCGAATCAAGTCATCGATGACAGGTAAAAATCCATGATATCATCCTGGTTTTGGGGCAAGGTTTGAAGGGAAGTTAGTTAAACATGATGTATAATGGCAAAGCACGCTGTTTTTGTTCACAGCATATCAACACTGTCGTCGGCCATTATCACCAGAAGCTCTTAAATCTTGTTGTCTTTCCAAATTGACAGTTGTCAGCATCTTCTTCATGTATGGCACCTCTTCTTCATCCTGACATATTTATATTCTTCCAGTTTTGAGTGACAGGAACTTCATCAACATGATCATTTCCTATTGGATTTTCACATGGGCTCATTCAGACATTCTTCCAGACAGTTGACATGTGGGCAGGCAGAAAATGTTCTGAGCGGCTGATGCAAACATTTGTGTTCTCACATAGGACTGGACCTCTGTGCATGTCTGAAAGCATATTGGGTTTGTTAGTTACACACTTTGTTAGTTAGATTAGAAGATCAACAACACTCTCATGTCTGTACACTAAATACAGTTTGAAGGTGAAGCTAGCTCTACCAGCTCGATTCAAGCTATCTTGAAGCTAACCACGGTATCAGCTTATCTTAAGTGGAAGCACGTGGAAAATCTATTTTATAGCTGAAATGATAGGACACATAAGCAGTGTAGCTTAGACTTATGAAAGTTGAATTATTTGAAACAAAATGAGCTTTTCGTAAACTGCATATTGAGCTAAAATCCATCAAAGAGCATGAATTGATTGAGGTGTTAAAGCATCAGTATTGACCCTCCCTTTAGAGAGAAGCGTCGAGTGATGAGGAAGTTCCTGCCCAAGTATAAGAAGGCGGTGTTTCGGGCCTACAGGAATGAAGACTTCCGCCAACCCATTCAGAGAGAAGCGCTACACCAACATCTGGGAATCATGGGACCTTTCATCAGAGCTGAGATCAATGATCTTGTCACTGTGAGTGGGGCTGTAGTAAAATGAAATCATATACAAATAAATAATTTTCTGTCGCTACATCCTTTTTTACATCTGTCATCAAACATGAGAAATATGTAAACAATTTTGATGTTTCATGAAACAATTGAATTATGAAATAAAGCTATTAAGCTGTTTGTGCCTCTGCATTTTAGATGAGTGTTTGATATAATTTCCCTCTTTATCTTATTCAAGGTGATCTTTAAAAACAAGGCATCCAGGCCTTACTCATTTCACCTCCAGGGAGTGTATGACCTTAGTCAGGGGGCCAGCATAGCACAGACCCATGCCTCTTCTGCGCCACCTGGGGTCCCAGGAGAGCCTGTGGCCCCTGGAGAGATGCGGACCTACAACTGGAGAATAACCAAGAAACAAGGACCCACCGACACTGAGTTTGACTGCAAGACAGGAGCTTACTACTCCAGTGTCGACAAGGTCTGTATGAGTCTCAGCCTTCAAATCTGTCATAGACATGCAGCACGGAGCTGGGAATACCATATTTTTCTGTTTCGTCTATCACTGTCCAGCTCAATAGATGTATATATGAAGTTTTTTAAAATTAATATAGTGAAGATTTTTTAAATTTGCTCTCTTCATATTTTTTGTTAAGTATTATAATTGTAGTTTGTATGTTGTTTTAAATAGCAGATGCTGAGAATCTTTGGAATCTCAAATTTATTCTTGTTTTATCCTTTCAATCACAAAAGATTTCCAAAAAAATATTATTATCATTGCTAAAAAAAAACCTTGGCTTTATTCAAATGGTTATAAAACATATTTCCTCCCATGTCCAGGAGAAGGACCTTCACTCAGGTCTGATCGGTCCACTGGTGATCTGTAAGCCCGGCACCCTCCGCACCCGTCAGCGCACACAGCCAGACATCACAGAGTTCTCTCTGCTCTTCCACACCTTTGACGAAACTAAAAGCTGGTACCTGGAGGAGAATCTGCAGCAGCACTGTACCCCCCCCTGCCAGGTCAACATAGACGACCCCTACTACCACATCAACAACAAGTTTGCAGGTAATGATGAGGCAATAAGGTTGATTGTTGGTGTTGTGTCTTAATTAGCCCAACAACTTGTTTCAGCTTGTTTTTCTATAATGCCAATGATTTCTTTTCTATGTAGCTATAAATGGTTATGTGGCTGAGACACTTCCTGGTCTGTTGGTCGCCCAGTACCAGAGAGTGAGATGGCACCTGCTGAATGTAGGAAGTGACGGGGAATACCACGCTGTGCACTTCCATGGTTTACCTTTCACCCTCCACACTGAACAGGAACATCGCATGGGTGTCTTCAACCTCTTCCCTGGTACATACACATACACTTTCATATGTATATACTCGTACATTTATACATGAACCCTCCATCCTACACTCTGTCAGACTTTATATTTCTATTAAATATTATGTTGTCCATCCCATGCATTCACACAAACTGTCTCTGTCTGCAGATTTGAGTTTCTTTGTCAGTGTCAACCTCAGCAGGTTCTGTCTTTTCACATCAGATGATGAAGACACTATAATCTATATTCATCATTGAGTCATCAGTACATTTGAACACATGTAAAGCATGTAAAACACATTTTAGTTTCACATATTATTCTATATTCAAATATTCTGAATCCTTGTGGAGAATTTTCTGAGCAACGAAAATGGAAACTACATAAATTAGGATTTCAGCTTATTCTAGTTTTCATGGTTATGTTATATAAAGAATCTCTGTATTTCTTTGATAAATGTATTATACACTGTCTCACATATTTTATTTGTTTATTTGTTATTTTGTGCAGGAGTGTTTGGCACAGTGGAGATGTGGCCCCCTACAGTCGGCACGTGGCTGGTGGAGTGCACCATAGGAGATTATCAGATGGCTGGCATGAGGGCAAAACTACTGGTGTATAATCCACGTAGGTACACGTGTCACATATGTGTGAAAAATATTATTTATAAGGTAATTGGACTTAAAATATATTAGATAACTTCAATATGATGGATGTATGGTGATTGGAATTTTGGAGTGTTTGTTGTTCTTGTTTCCAGAGAATGAATCCTAGATTTAACTTAAAAGACACCTTTGGGTCAACATTTCATCTTTTACCAGTTCCAAGTGTGCATACAATGAAGAATTAATAAATTGGTAGGCTAGTAGCAATGTTTTCAATTTTTTGTCAACTCATTATTACTTATTACTATTGTAATAAGTCCTTCACAGCTTCATGGAGCTTCGGGCTGAGCTGTAGATATTTTGACCTAAAACAAAATAAACTAGACTAGACTAGTGACTCAATTACTCACAGTTGCATTAAATGCCAACATCAGTGCTGTAGCATTTTGAAATCATCATATAGTAGAATGTTATTGATGAATTTTCAGGGCAAATATTTGTGGCAATATTTGTGGTAAACTTACATTTCATAATTTCCAGAAAAGCCCCAACTAAGACAATGGGTTCTTCTGCACTGGATAGATTTATATAGTACACTGAGAAATTTGGGAATTTTAAGTAATAATGATGAAAACATGTTTTTCTCTTCCTGACATGTAGGCTGTGTTTTACCTCTGGGAATGAAATCAGGACGAATTGAGGATTCCCAGATTACAGCATCAGATCACATAGGTAAGTCACTTACTTTGTTTTTCATTTTCATTTAACAAGACAAACACACCAAGAAGACCATTAATTCTTGTATATACTTACAGAGAGAGGACATGCTTACCAGTGCACTGGAAATACCACCCCAAGCAGCTTTATGAAATATTAAACCCTGGATATTGGCACAATTAAATGTGATTATAAACATGTTTACATAAATGTGTCCAGATAATTGGGAGCCCGGGCTGGCCAGGCTGGATCAGTCAGGTTACATCAATGCCTGGATGGGCAAAAACAGTATGTCATGGATCCAGGTAAACAAACAGTCTGTCTCAGTTTAATCTTGTGTATCTGCCACAGTCTGTGGTGCCTGCATGACCAATGCAAGCCCTGAATTCAAACATGTGATGTGTGATGTAATGTGTTTGTTGTTAGGTGGACCTCCGCCGGCCCACGCTGCTGCATGGTGTGCAGACACAGGGCGTCAGTTCAAAGCTGAAGGACCACTGCATCACAATCTTCAACGTCTCCTACAGTCTGGACAAGAGAACTTGGACCACTTACAAAGGAAATAGAACCAGAAACAACGTACGTCCTCAGCTGTGGTAACATAGCAGGATTAGGCTTCATCTGTATCAGTAATAAAATGTTGATGCTTCAGGAAATTAGTTTCTCAGCAGCAGTGCAGAGACTGAGTCTCAAGTACAAGCAGTCAGAGAACATGTAGTTCCCTGAAAATCAAACAGACCATGTGGCTACTGATGTGATTTCAATTTGTAGACATTGAAGATATTTCTAGAAGCAACTCTAACAATCTGTTTTCATTGTCAGGAAGATTATCCCCCCAGTCTGTACATTTTATCTGTGTTTGTTTCTTTGTTCCTCTAAAAATCATCACAATTAAACACAAAATAAACTACTGAACCAATTTTCACAAAACATGGTGGAAGGATGTGGGTCAGAGAAGAACCCAATTAGATTTCAATTTTGTCATCTGTCTTTAACATTGCGAGATACAGCGTTATGCAATATTTTCTAAGTCATGGATCTTGATAAAACTAATCAGCCAGTGTTTAGGAATCAAATTGCAAACATATAAAAGATTGAAGATTTTGTAACTGGTAAATTTAGCATTTAACCCCCTTTGCACGTGAACCAAAGACAGAGGTCTGGTTAAGAAGTTATGAGTTGGTTTTTGAAAGTTGTTGCTGGTTGTGTTTATGTGTTGTCAGGAAATCAGTGCAAGAAAAACAAAAGGACATATTTTTTCCATCAATGAATGAAAGTGCTAAAGTGCTTGTGTGGCTGTGTGTTAGATCTTTGAAGGCACCACGGACAGCTCCAGCGTGAAAACCAATCCATTCTCTCCTCCGTTTGTGGCTCGCTACGTCCGGATTCAGCCGTTAGATTTTAAGCAAAGGCCTGCGCTCCGAATGGAGCTGCTGGGCTGCGATCTCAACAGTGAGTTTCCCCAAACAGTGACATCAATTATCAGAAGTGATTATTTTACTGTGAAAAAAATCAGTGTATATCTGTGTGTGTGTTTGTGTCATCAGGCTGCTCGCTCCCTCTCGGGCTCCAGGAGATTCGGCGGATTCCTGACAGCAGCTTCAGTGCCTCCTCATTTCACAGGTCTCTGTTTGATTACTGGAGGCCCAGTCTTGCCCGTCTCCATCTGGAGGGCAGAGCCAATGCCTGGAGGCCAATGGTGAACAAACACACACATATACTCACAAATACATGTCTGCTGTACATGCACATAGTGTATTATTACACATTATAAATCAGTTATATTATCATCAGCTGCCATGACTTCAGCTCATCTCCCACTGCCTTTGAACAGACTGAATGAGCATAACATGACTCGTTAAAATCGGTGAGTGAAGTTCTTCTGGCCTCAGTCAAGGATCATGATGTCGTCATTGTCAGGTTGATCCTTTCTCCAGATAGTGGGTGCTTGATAAAAATTGAACTTGTAATCTACTTGAAAAAAGTATCATGCATCACAAGACTCGTTCTACGTGTCTTTACCGTCATATTATTTTTGCATTGCAGTTCCTAGTCTCCTCCTGTCTGGAGCTTATCGATTTCACACTTTGCAGCACTGAGCTTTAGAGGTGTGATTTTTCCCTCTGTCAAACTGTTGAGCTGTTATTAAAAGACACACGTCGGACAGTATGGAGCACTTATGAGTATTGGACAGGTGTCAAAAATTGTGGGTCAACTATTATCTGAAATATTTTGCCTAACACAGGGCTTTTATTTGTTACTAGTTCTTAAAGGTTTTCGAGCATTTATTATCTTTTACAGCAGCCACAGCCAGGATTCAATTATATCATTGTTCTCAACATCTTAAATACAGTCTTTTGACCCCTGAGTTGTACTGATTTCTGGGACCCTGGTACATCTGTTTTCTTTAATATGAATATTTTGTCTCCTGAGCTCTAACAATGTTTCCTCTGTTCACTTCATCTCAGAACAACAACCCCCATGAGTGGCTGCAAGTCGATTTGGGGAAAGTCAGACGCATCACAGGGGTCATAACCCAAGGAGCACGATCACTGTTCACCCCAATGATGGTGACAGAGTTCTCAGTCACCTTCAGCCAGGACGGACAATCCTGGAGCAGCGTGTTAGAGGGCAGCTCCCAGAAAGAACAGGTAGACCAAGCTAACATGATCCTGGTTCCTGCCAGCCATAAAAACAGTCCATAAAAGTGCAATGACTAATATTTCACTTATTCCTTCAATTCATCATTAACACAGGCCTAACTCCCAGTTTCCATTACTCTGGATGAGTCACTCTCTGTTAAGGAGCTGGTAGTCCACCATACTATAAAACCATGTTTTTATGTTGTGGTGACAGAAAAACCTTGAAACTAATAAAACATTAGGACAAATATTTGCTTCTTAGTATCAGGCCTTTCAAAAAAACATATCTGTTGAACTCACAGTTGAATACATAAGTCTACAGATTTATTTTTGTAGTTATCTGAAACTCATGGACTTCAGTGTTGGTTTATTACAATTCTTCATTGGCCATTTCTCTCTCCTCCTCTGTCCACCCTCAGATCTTCACAGGAAACAATGAATCAGACGAGGAGGCTATCACAATGTTCGATCCCCCCTTGTTCAGCCGCTACCTCCGCATCCACCCGCGTGGCTGGATCAACAGCATCGCCCTGCGTCTGGAGGTCCTGGGCTGTGACACGCAGCAGCTGCTCTAAAGCTACAGATCTCACCAATCGCCTGCAGCGGCATTTTAGCAGCAGAGTGTGTTTTGTATTTTTGTGTTTTTTAGGTGTTTGGCAAGTGATGAGTTAAATTGTTATGCAGAGCACTTCTTAAGTTATATATCAAATATTGTATTGGAAAAGCTATTTCTTCTGTAGCCACAACTGTGTTTACATTTTCCCCTTATTGCCAGTGTGGCATTTTATAATTTTAGTTCAGATTAAAATGTATATGTTGATAGTTGATAGTTTAGATATTTGTTTTAAGATAAACACTTTTAAGCTTTGCGAACTGCACATCAAACTTTTTGAATGTAAGCTTGTGTAAATAATAGAGAAGAATGTAAACAGTTTGACTGGCTGTATATCATTAGAAACGTTGTTTTGTTTTTGCTTTATAAGAATTTATATAAACATTGAATCTACCTACTAATTCCACAAATGCCTTTCTGTCTGTCTGTCTGTGGCTGTCTGTCTGTCGGTCGGTCGGTCGGTCGGTCGGTCGGTCTGTCTGTCTGTGGGATGCATATCCAGTGAACTGTTCATCTTATCACCTTCACACTTGGTGTGTGTATTCTTCGTGGTCCAGGGAAGTGTAGTGTCGAACCTGGTGTGATTTATACACTCAATAAGTTCATAAAATGGTATTGCAGCAATGGTCTGAATTACAGAGCTTTTATTTTGAAAAGTGGTGGATTTGGGTCTATAAATCGTCAGTTGCTTAACAGACCTCTGAAAATATGAACATGAAAATACAACAGCAGTTAAGTAAATCATTCAAACTTATATCTCACACTCTAATTTTATGAAAAACAATGACTATAAAATCTTCATTGTAGATAAACCAGGTAGCATGAACACTAACTTCCCTTCGCAACATAGACTGTCTATAAAAAATTCAGCACACAAACAATAAAAAGTGACAGTATATTGTAGAACTGTTTGAGGAGGAATCACTAATGACAAGGAATTCTGAAGTAGCTCGGGAGCTTTAACAGAGACTGAGCAAACAGCCCGTTCCAAAAGAATTGTAACTATAATTTGTGCTTTCAAAACTTCAGGTATTTGAACATGCACAGCTTCAAACAATAGTGTTTTCTTCCTTCTTTCCACTACATTATCTCTGTTCTTTCTATGCTCCATCTGTCTCTAGTGCAAATTGTTCCTGAACTGTTATTTCGGCTTATCCTCCTCCACCAGGTCCTCCCACTAGAAACAATGGCAAGTTTGGTTCCAACATTAATCTGCTCCAAGTTTAAATATTTGCGAGAAGAAGATGAAATATTGAGGTAACTGGAAGGGAAACAGTGAGATCTACAAGGCGCCGGTGTGCGTGTGTGTCTAAGCTGTGTATTTTGGGCCCCGCCTGTGTGAGGCTTAAAAACGAGCGACGTGTTTGCGGGCCCGACTGACCTTTATTACCTTGTTATCAGCTGAGGAAGTTTCCGGTACTGGGGGTGTGTTTCGTTTGGAGGACAGAATCATCTTGGACAGGACATGTGCTGGCACATTGACACAGCAGTGGCATGTAATGCCTGGCTGTCCACTTTATCTCTCTGAAAACAATAACACTCTGTCCGTTATCTCAGCAGCACGACACAGCACCTGTGTTCAACTCCAACTGAATAATTGTGTCTTTGCAGCGTGTGAAAGAGCCGACGACAAGAAATACAGGCCGAGCATCGTCAGTGGAGACTGAACTCTGTGGGTCACACTGAGGCTTTGACAGGATTTACTCAATTCAGAATTTTTTATGTACTTCCTATTTTTGATGACCACTGTATGTGGTATGTAACTCCTCCCTGCGATTACACAGCGGTTAGATGGCTGAGACTTATTTGCTCCTAGATACATGTACGTGTATCTATTTCAATCAGAAGAGACTTTTTAACAGTTTTATTGCCATGCACAAAAAGAAAGTGATGCTATATATTGTACGTTTTTGGCGTTTAGACCCTTATGTGACATTAGAAGGGGTAAAGCAGATTTGTGAGGTGATGCAGCTTCCTGGTGGTTCCAGGATACCTGCTGCTGTTTTACCCTCCTGACATTTTATTGGTTTAACTTATTTCATGTTGAGGAATTTTTTTTTTTATGTTAAACACAATCCAACTTAATCTTTAGAGCCACCCTCTCCTTACTCTGGCATGTGATGAACTTATGGACACATTGATATGCAATAATGTGACCTCTAACTATGGGCCTGTCCTTATTAGTAATCTTTACCAGGACTGGCTGTTTTAATTGGTCTTTTGTTTTAATCCTCTACCACTTGTTTGTCCACATTTGTGCACATTTCTTTGGATGCAATTCCTGAAGTGGCAAAAGTAAGTAAAACAACAAATAGATAGACAGAAATGTAATCAAGTAAAAGCATCCCATTAACTTTCAATTTGCTCTTTAAAAACAACATAAAGACATAAAATCTTTTAATAAAATTAAAAACAACTACTTTGTGTTGTTGATTAATCAATCTGTTGACATCTTTAAATGCCTGTTTTGTCCAAAGGTGACAATTTTCAAGTTGTTTGTGGTGAAACCATTTGTGGGTAGCATCATCATCATCATCATCATCATCATCATCATCATCTGACATCAGACGATAGACAGAGGCAGCTCTCAGCCGTAATATATATATTACAGTAAGTCAACTTTATTTGTAAAGCACTTTTCACATGTGAAAAATCGCTTATATCAAAATTACTATTAAAAATAATATAACTAACAAATGAGATCACAGACTCGAGAGCGGATATATAATATAAAATATATATATCAGTCATTTGGTATGGCCCAAGTATGGTTAATAAAAATCGAAATAGTGTTAGAGAGGAAACAGGTTGTCCTTCTTCCCCCTTTCCTCCTTCTTTTTTCTTCTTCTTTCAGTTTGCAACAGTTCAGAAGTCCAGTCTTGCTGCTGCTGGTGAAGGTGATTTAACAAGATTACAACATTTTTCTGTGAATGTGGAACATGGTGAGAAGTTTCCACACTTTTGTTTGTAACAACCTGCTGATATGTAGTAACAGTGTACAGGACTTTATTTGAGGGACAGTTCTCATGCAGTGGCAGGAAAAGAAAGAAAAGCTTGTGACACTTGTGAAACAAAATGACCACAGTTTTATCACCCTCTTTACGTCACTTCCTGCCATGCTCCGTGAAGACCCACAGGCCCCTGGATGTGAGATAAAACAAACAAACCAATGTAGAGCTTATCTACTCTTTTGTTCTTCTTGTTTTCTCCTTCACGGTGCCATGTGTGTGTGCACATGTGTGTGTGCACATGCTTTGTTCCTCATTCATCGCTATCAAGAACCAAAGCTGTTTACTTTTAACTTTCTCCTGGGAAATTATTCATAATAAGATTCCTGCATATTGACACAATGGACTTTTTGTTTTTTATTAAGAATTATTCATGGTTTAACCTTTAACCTCCATCCCAAATCACAGATGAAAACATATTTTCTGTGACTAACTCGAAACATGCATCTTATTTTCTCAAACTTAAACCTTATTTTGAACAATGTTATATATATATATATATATATATATATATATATGTCTCTGGTTAATTTCTGATATTAGTTTCCATTGTGACGACACGAGTTAACCCAAAAGCAAAATTTCACAACCACAGAAAACATTAACGCTAGCCACATCAAAGACTTCAAGTAAATCATAATTTCTTGAATTACAAACTATTCAAAATATACAGTATTTCTTGTCAAAATATGAACCAAGGTAGGAAAAATAGTCTGTTCATGTTTAAAAATGTTTTTATTGTCTTTTGATTATATTCATATAGCAATACTTAGCAATAAGTACTTTCCATTCATATAAATGCTTTTTATGGGAAGTTCTTGATAAATCATGTGCTTTTAAAAATAACTACTAATTGTAAATTGTATTTTATTTTATTGTTGAAATTCCCGAAATAGATTTTCTATAAGACAAGACATAAAGTATAGTCATTCAACTAAAATAAACTCAAAGCTAACGTCTCTTTGTTTGGACTCCATGAGATGTTCATGGGTCTCTAACAGCACTCAGTTAAACTCCAGATACTTTATGATGAGTTCAGTCAAAATGGTTCACTCAAAAACATAAGTGAGGGGAAGACCCCTACTGGTCAACCCACAGTATTACATTCGTTATTGCAGAACAGTGGTATGGTGACACCTACTGGCTGTCATGTGCACTCACAAATATACAGTGAAATGACTTAAGCCTGCATTTGTACAATCTGTACCCAAACAACTGAGAGCATTTATTCTAAAACTATTCATATACAGGGAGCTGTGTGATGCTTCACTGCACATCAAATTTAGATGTAAGTAAAATAATCCTCAAGGTTGATAATCCTGAATTATGTTGGAATAAAATACTCTAATACACAGGTATTTGTTTCCTGAGAGTTTCTGAATCCTGGGCCTTTGCTGAAAGTAGAAAGAATCCATAGAGGTCGACTGGTTTAATAAAAGAGTTCAGGCTCAACACTACATCTTTAATGTAATTTTCCCAAGTTAAAGATTGTTCCTCTTTGTGTTGATGCTTATTTATCACACCAGGAAACAACAGCCCCAGGTTCAGAGCCGGACTCAACAAGTGATTTATTTGTTGCCTTGCCACATGCAATAGTTCCCTGTGTGTACGTACATAAAGAGCTCTGCTGCCAGGGAGAGATTCAGGGACTGGTGTGATATAAGACTGAGCATCAGTGGCTGTGATTTGCTGATGTTAAACAGGGCAAGAGGGAGTCAAGAGAGGACTTGATGCCTTAATAAACTCAGCCATGTTGCTGTGGTGATAATGAGCAGATCACACATTTAAGGACACATTCAGTGTGTCCCAGCACAGCTGCAGCTGGGTATTACATTTCTGTTCTGAATGAGTCGAGTCTTTTATGCATTTAAAGTAGCCTGGATTTAATCTCAAACTGACTGCATGTCTAAAATCACCTGAGCGCCTGCAGCAGGTCACGTGGAAGTGAGGACTGAAAACACATGAGATGAAAGACCACATGGATTCTTTTCATGTTACATCTTTATTGTTGGTTTAATAGAAAAAATGTGCCTTTTTATGATACAGATTCAAAATTATTTGACAAAAACACAGATTTCATGAATATCTTCTAGCAGCTTGACTTGATTTCAGATGGTGTGACGCCACTGGCCTTGTTAAAGTTTTTTTTTTGAAAAATGAAGTGAAACATATATATTCTTACAAAAAAGGTATAGTAGCTTGTGGTGCGAGGACAGAAGCTTAAAGCTTTAAGAAGGGAGAGGCAAGAGAGGTTTAACTGCAGCAGCCTTACTGGAGGTTAGAGGAGGAAAGTTTAGCAGAGCCCTGCACTGAAATATGACTTAAACATATAAGGCTGTGGGAAGGCCTGGGCCGAGCGCTGCCCCGGGACTGAGCACAAATATAAATGAGAATACATCACCTGCAAAAGTCAGGGGATTTACAGTTGAGAAAACGAGACGCCTACAGTCAAGATGATGACAGATATGCATGAAGAATACAAGGTTTCTAGAACAGCATATAAAAAGGTCTATACATTATTCAGGTGCGACCAGGAGCTTTAAAAATGTTACTTAAGTGAAATGAAAAGTGATGAATGGTGCTAGGAGAAGAGCCAGAAACATATTGAGGGTGGAAGTGGTCCATGGCCGTCTCTGAGGCGTTGACTTGTTTTTTCGCAAATCACGTCTCAGCCTCATAATGTACAGACCCTCAGCAGTCACATGCTGCTTGTGCAGTTTGGAGAAAAAGCACAGCAGTTAAAGTGTAAGCGGAGAGAGTGAGGTCAGAGGAGCAGTCGAAATGGCACAAATCGGAGAGTAGAATAATTGTGGTATCTTTCTTTCCTTTTTTTTTCTTCTTGCCAGTGAAAAAGTCTAATGGTGAACAACTGAGAAGTTAGGTTCTGAGAGATTAAGAAAGATTATCAACCAGAAATTGAAGTTACTGTTGAATGAAATTACACTGTAGCAGAATGAGATATCACAAACTTCAAATGTTCAGGCGCTTATTTTAGAAGAATGAAACAACTGAGAAACTAAATCCTGCTCTCGCTTTGAGACAGGGTTTAAAAGTCCAGTGTGTGAGATTTAGATCTATTCGCAGAAATTTTATATAAAATAATCCTAGTGATGTTTTCACTAGTGTGTCATCATCCAAATTTCAACAAATTACTTTCTTTACACTAGAATGTGTATTTAAATAATTAATAATTACAGTGGGAGCGGATCCTCTCTAAGGAGGCCGCCATGTTTTTACAGTAGCCCAGACTGTAAAAACGAAACACCTTAGAATATTTATGACGACTGAATGCGAACACAGGTTTCTCTTTCAAGGGGAGGGTGAGGTGAGGGCTATTCAGCTGCAACATGCAACCTCACCAGTAGATGTCACTAAATTCTACACACTGAATCTTTAATAAAATCCTGTTTTTATTCGTGTGTAGACTGTTGTGTTGAATGTGCCACTATTTATCTCTGACCTGTGTATTGTGTGTCACCGGCAGGCACCAGAGGAGAAATGTGAAGTTTTGATTGTCAGGGAAAACAACTAAAAGTCTTAAAACTTTCTAATGATAAAAAAGATTTAAGTAACTAAGTACTAAGTGAGTGTTAGTATTATACATGTAGGTTGGGTAACATAGAAGGGGCTCTACGACAGATTTAAGTGTTCCTGTAACAAAAACTCTAGAGTCAAAGTCAAACATCCATGGTTTTGACTTTGACGTGTTCAGACTTCGGGAAGTGAAGTAGTCGCAGGACCACAAGCCCGAAACTCTGGCAACATCAATCACATGTATTGAATTATTCTTCATACACCCAGTTCCTTCACTTTTAGATACATGTTTAAATCTGAACTCACTAACAGTTCATCTTCTTTTCCAGTAGTCATTGAATTACATCATTAAAACACAACCCCCCAAAAAAATCAGTCATTAATAACAATAAAACAGTTTATGGTTAATTAAAAAAAAGTACACAAGTACATATGTTGGTATACATATATCAGTTTACTCTATTTGAGTCTACAGTAAAGTTATAAAAGGAGCCTCAGCTGGTTCTGACCAGAATCTGGGGCCGACTTTACTGACCCTAAGTAACAAAGCTTTTCCAGAAAGTTTCAGGACAGAATATAACAATAAAGTAAACAGAAAAATAAGAAGTAAAAAGTCACATTAAGATCTGATTTTTTTTTTATAGGCTTTGCTGTTTTTACTCTAATCTGTAGCAACAAGTTCTAGTGTATCTATAAGGCAGAATTATAATTTTTCTTTACTGCTGTAACTCAAATGTCTTATTTTTATTCCTTGTCACTTCGAAAACGTGTTTTTACAAACAACAGTGCGTGGTAAGGAGGTGACATAAAAGAAAACATCAAATCAAATGATTCTAGCTAATTTTAATCTTTGTTTCATGCACAGAAACACAGTCAGGGTCGTCCAATATGGCTGCCAGAGGTTTAAAGTCCCCTGCGGACTTTTCATTCACTAGTTCATTTGCTAGATTCTGAGACACGTGCGTCTAGTTCAGCAAACTAGTAAACTAGTGCAACATGTCAGTAGCATGCAACGCTATGCTTTCACTGGGGTAGTGCTGTGCAAACCAGCAGAATCTGATGATACAGATAATAATGTTACCTGTTGATCGTCTGATGAACAAAATATCATCATCTTTAAATTGCAGACTACAAAAAATCTGCTATTAGGCTAATGGGTTACTAATTTTCCAAAAAGTAGTAACACATTGATTTTGACCTCTACCCTATTGTTTAATAGGCAGGAAGTTAGCTATACATAGCTTTTAGTTTAACTTCATAGATGAAAAATGAAAAGTTAAAACTGGAAATTAATTATTTGAAATTGACAAAAAAGATTTCTGCTTATTTTAAAGATTTAATTGGTTGAAATTATATTAATGTGCAGGAGCGTTCAGGTTGTTTACGGGATCTGAAAGATGATTGGCTCATTTGAAATAAAATTAACTTGTGATCACAATTTATGATATTGGTTAGCTTATATAGCTGGTAGATGAACCACTCATGCAGCCTGTAGTTTTAATGACCCCCCTACATTTTCTGAGCAGCTGCAAATTAACATCTGTTCTGCAAAGAGATTTTAACACTGCCTCAAAGTCAAATTGGAGGCCTGTGATTTTGCTTTTAAACACCATTTAACAATTTAATGTCACCACTGCCTATGGTTAAACATCTCCTAACTTCAGTTAAGAATACAAGACATTTAAAATAACTGCATTTTTGAATCACAGACAAGGAAATCAGGCTGTGATTAGGACACGCTACAGCAACTGACAACTGAATTTTGTAGTAAATGATGAAAAACAACAGGGCAAATGGATGAGAAGGCAAAAACACAACAGGAAGGATACATTTTGCACCAACTGATCATGAGGAATGGAAGTTCGACGTTAAAACTTAAACGGACACTAACGAGCTTTTGTTCAGAGGAAGTGAAAAAAAAGCATTTGGCAACTCAATGGTTTTGAGACTCAGACAACTCAAAAACAAACCATGAAGAAGTTAATGAAGAATGTCGCCGCGCACAAACATAAACTGCTGAGGATTGACTGATTGATTGATTGATTGATCACTGAGGTATTAGTGTATATTTCCTATTCAGAACAGTTTGTAATGTAGCGTTACCACTCCACACAAACGCACACACAAAAAACCTACACTCAGCAGTGAGGTTTGTGTAGCTGTTTGGCCCTAAAGTGTGTAACAGACTGAATAATGGCAGTGAAAGCAACAAAGGGAGTTGAACAAAAGGAATACCACCTTAACACCAGGGCGTTTCCTTGTCCCTGCCCCCCCCCCCCTCTGTCATTCAGCTATGCAGATCACCACAGAGTGTAACTCAAACTCAAAACATTAAAAACTGTCCATTATTGCAGCTCTACTTCACATCTGTTCATTACAGTTCATTGTAATCTAAGATTGCAGGCTGTAACTTTTTGTTTCATTACTGCTAACACAGTGATCGAGGTGCTCATGACGAGACTAAACTACAGCAGCGAATTAATTGTTTCTGTGAAGTGGCCTCATGAGGACCCAGGGCCGTTTGGCAGTTTGAATCTCAGAAGTCCCCCTCTTATCAACAGACTGTAACATCTTAGTTTCATATTACAGAACTGCCTCTACTACTAATGCAGATACACAGATGCCACACACTGACACATCCGCACATGTACACACGCACACACACACACACACACACACACAAAGACACACAACTGCACACAGGGTTTTTTGCGCAGCTATCCTTACTAGGACTATGCAACAACTTGCAATCGTTGTGGACAGCCTATCCAAAACTTTATCCCAAACCTTTACCATGAATCTAACCACCAGTCATATCTTACCTCTAACCTTAACCTTGGTCCCCATGAGTTCTACTGGTCCTGACAAGGTCAGTGTTTATGCTGGAAAAGGTCCTAAAGAGGCAACAAAAACAAGCACGCACGCACACACACACACTCATTCATACACAGTAAAAGTCAAAAAATGCCTTTTGTTGTTATGATGAAAATCTAAAGCTAACAACAGTCGTCAACCTCTGATGAGGCCTGCGGGATTCCAGCTTTTCTACTAATATGAGTAGACAGTGTGCACACTACAAAACTATTCTTGAATTCTTTTTCAAAGTCATAGCAAACAGTTCATGTGGATTTATCTAGCACTCCGCTAAAAATGTTAAAAGGCCAATAAGACAAATGAAGTGTTGAATTATTGGAGAAACAAACAAAATCAAAAGCAAAAAATTAAGGCTGACTCACGAGAAGACCTTGTATCGACTGTGGTGTTTCATCTCGTGATTCGTGCAGGAGATGCACTGATCGCACTGAACTGACTTATAACGCTTAAAAAATCCAACACATGAGTCCGTGGCAAATAAATCAGTGGAATCAGCAGCTGCCACAGTCACATATGTGTCTCCCATGCAGGCAGGATGGTCGAGTAGTTGAGTTTTAGACCCTGGCTTTGAGCACGGTGTGGAACAGTGTGCGGTTGAATTGAGGTGATTGTGTCTGGTGGTGGATCTTTCAGAGGACTTTGCAGTGACATTTACAACACATACTGTACATATGATTCTCTTGTCGCTGGCTCAGCAGAAAACAGTAGAACAAATTAAAACCTGCAGTGTATTAAGAAAACTTTGATGCTTGAGGTACTACGTAAAGAAATTTAAAATGTATCCCTTCACTAGTTCATATTTTATATGCCTCAAAATGTGTTAGCATGAATCTAAAAACAAAGAATAGTCATTTTAAAAAGTAAATATGACTATTCTTTATTTTTATGACTTAAATATATGTAATATAATGTATTTCTAGTCATACTTGCTGTGAAATCAGAAACTACCGCTGTCAGGTAAAATCTCTTCCTTTCTTTCCTCTTGGAGGTACAGTTAATATTACTACAGAGTCCCCACTGATGAAACAATCGGAGTAGAGACTTTGTTGTGCTTATCCTCCCTAAATGTTTCCATCATCCTACCCTGATGTGCCTGTTTTTGTCCTTTCTGCAGCTTGTAGCCGGAGTGCCCTTTTCCACTTCTCTCCATGTGAAAATAACAAAACAGCCAATGAAGGCCAGGTGGGGTCAAAGGTCAGCAAACAGAAGTCCATTGTTGAGAGCTCTTGTTGGGAGGAGCGCAATCAAAGGATGAGAAAAGGTGCTGGTGGGCTGAATCCCTGAGAAAAACCAAAAGGAAAGTAAACGTTAAGGAAACGTATTAACATATTTCCAGGTGCAGATTCTAGACATGTGCACAATAGTTGTAAATGTGTGTAACCTTTAAACAGTGCGACTCAGATGTGTGTTTCTACGTCAGTGTAGCCAGGGAGGATGTCTCCATTGGTGCAGCTCTTGGGCTCCTCTGCTAGCGGTGCGGTGGGCAACATGTGGGCAGTTGTGGACGTCTCCTCTGGTGACGCCGCGCCCTGGCCTCGCTGGAGCCTGGAGTGCATCAGGGGCACAAAGAACAGCACCACAGCCCCCACCATAGGAGGCACACCGGCCAGGGAGAAGGCTACCGTGTAGTTCCCAAAGTAATCATGTAGGAGACCTGGGTAGTGGTGGAAGGAGGAGACATTAAATGTTGTGGAAGTAGACAAAGCGAGTCACATCCTGCTATTGAATTCGCACCATTCTGCTCATTGACAGCTGGTGGTGATAATACAGCAACAAACATACCTGTATACAAGCAACGCCAAAAGACAAACAGTTAGCAAACATTAATATAAACCATGCAGGATACAAATATTAAAAACTGGCCTTGTTTTCGCGTGGATTGAATCATTTACTGTTTCTATCTAGCCGCTCAAAGGCCTATTTTTGAACTTTGCCTGAACCTTGTTACCGGAAGTTAATCCTACACGAGGGTGACAACGTCTCAGGTCGAGCTCCGTACACACAGTCCTGATGAGAGATGCATCAATTTTCTCAGCTAACCCTGAAGAATAGTGTTGAACTACGAGGGATGATTGAAGAGTTGGCATCCTTTTAGTAAACCTGGCACATTGATTTATTTGTTTTGGCTAATCAATTTGCAATAGTCAGGAAGTTCACGATCCAATTCAATAAATTAAGCAACATTTCATTCTGACATTATGTCTTACACAAGATATGGCCACAATAATTCTGTCAAACATTTTAATTATAACCAAATTTATTTTCAAAACTAAACAATTTATCTTTAACCCATAGGACTCCTCTCAGTAACTTTGGGACAAAATGTCTACTTCCTAAAACTGCTATATATGTTATCTATTTTCATAAAATACATGATAATGTAAAGTCAACACCACCTGGAATATGTTACTAAAAACATTGACATGTTTGCATTGTTTTTGCAAATTATATATTTATTTTAAATGTATGTAATCTATTCTTATTTTGTGTAGTTTCATATTTAAACATTTAAACCTAAATGATAAAAATGCCATCTCTAACACTTCTATATAACACTATATAGATTAATGTTATTTTTCACTTCCAATAACTATTTTTTTTAACTAATATCAGTCCTGAGCGCAAATACCAAACACTTATTCATTTTCAGCATTGTAACCCTTTAAATACCAGTTCTGTGAGATTTGTTTTAAGACAGCCTGGCATGTGACTGATTAGCAACAACACTGACTTTTTTGCATTCACATTGTTTGTGTGTAACACTTTCAGTCACATTTCTCAGCAACTTAAGTACAAAAATGTCTCCTCACCAAAACTGCTAACAATTCAAAATAAGAATTATTTTATATTATTTTTCACTTGCAATTTCTTAATTTTTGAATCAGCGTCAGTCTTGATCACAAATGACAAATATGAATTTACTTTCAGAATTTCAACTTAAGTATCTGAAATCCTGTAGATCCACCTGCTCTCATCAGTGGCAGTCAACAAGGACACTGTACTATTGTATCACAAAACAGCACTAAAACCTCACTCTGTCTGTACTATACTTTGTACACTGATGAGCCGCAACATCAAAAACTTCTGTGGAACACATCTTGCTCCTGGTTTTAATGCTGCTGCTGACGAACACATATATTCATCTACATGTGAGTAAAAACAAACAAACTATACCCACAGTGCACTGACTGAACAAGGTCATCAAGTTTACTGCACGGAGCTTGTGACATGAGACTAATGGGAGGGGGTGAGTGCATACATTGTTGCCTGTTGTGTACACATTCTTGCTTCTGAACTGAACATACCGTACAGAAGCACATACGGTATGTTTATGAAGGAATCATTTCATTCAGCCCTTTAGCTTGGCTGCCTTTCTATTGAATGTAGAGTAAATGTATGCATTTTAGTATTTAGACAAATGTAAGATATCATGCAGGATTTTATACAGTATGTATACTGCACATTATAACAGCCTGCATCATGCCAGCTACATGTTTGGTTTAACACAGGAGATAAAGACAGAGTCAGAAAGAAGGCTGTAATCATACAGCACTAAATTGTGCGCATACAAAGAGTGCAATCATTTTGCTGGTTAGCCTCTTACAGTGGCATATTAAATGCACTGGAAGCTCTGAAGCCTATTATCTGATAAAAGATGGACACATTTCAGACATATATGTGCAGGAACAACAGGAAACAGCAAGCAAAGGTAATTGGAAGGATGCGATATGGGTCAGGGAAGAACAGAGTCAATTTTGGCAAGGATCCAGATCTGGGGTTTTTATTGCGGTTTTTTTCATTAAGATCTGTGAAATATTTTCTAAGAAATCAGAGAGCTTGTTGAACAACGCCCTATCTCGCAATGTTAGAAAAATTATCTGCCCTCGGATCCAGATCTGCACCAACATTCAACAGATTCTTCTCTGACATCCTTCCACCAAGTTTCCTGGTAAAATGTCCAAGGTTTTCTCTCTCAGGACAAATCCCTGGAGACTAACTAGGGTTGGCTACAAGCCCAAACCTCTCTAAACACAATGTGCAGCACAAATAACCTGCCATACATTCTTTCCACCTACATTTGTTCTATCCTTGGCTAATGTTTTTCTCTGTTATATATTTCAACTTACTGTGCCCTGTTCCTGCCAAACTCTTGAAGGCAGACCACAGGATATGAGTTCCTTATGGGATGTTCTGTATAAATCTGTGCTGAGTTGTGAAAAACAGGAAAAAGAACAAGCTACTCACCAGCGATGGGTGGACCTGCCGTCATGGGAAGAGCCATGAGGCCCAGCAGGTATCCTATGGCCTGCGAGGCCTGCATGGGCCCGACCAGCTCGAACGCTATGGGTGCCATCATTGTGAGGAAGCATCCATCGCACAGGCCCAGGAACACACACACGACCGCCAGCGCCTCAAACGCATAACATTGAGGAATCAGCATGGACATCAGGCCCAGAGCAATGAAAGACACCACCTGAAACAGACAGTGAGAGGATTAGAAATTAATGTCTTTATAGTTGTATAGTTATATGTTTTACTGATAATAAATTATACTGAGAGACAAAGTCCCCCAGCTTTATAACGACCAACATATTTAAGTTGTCAAAACTGGTAAAAAGTGCAAAGTCTTATGCCTAATAAACCATTAACATCCACTAAATCACTCTAATTGCACATATAATATCCAAGTTTCAATCAGTAAAACCCAATCAGCCTTTTATTGGATTATATGAAATAAATATTGGTTTAATGTGTGCGCCAGGGACAGCGACAGAGTCTGAATAACAAACAAAGCACACGTGTTAATAGTTAGCTCAAAGACGTCTTCTGTTTCAGGTTAAAGTTAATGTGCAGATGTTTAATACCCGCACCTGCATGTAGATCTTTTGAAGGCCTGAAATAAGGTCTCCGATCTTTCCAAAAGCAAGGCGTCCCACCCCGGATGAAGCTCCAATGCACACCAGGAGAACCCAATCCTTCTCTGTCCCCTCGAAGCGCTCCTTCACAAAGTTGATCTGAGACATGAAAGAGAAAAACAGACACAGTGCTGTGTGAGATTTCACTGCTTGCAACAGTGGATAATGTGCTGCAGGAGAAAACACTCCCAAGCTGAGCAGACAAAGATCCCACAAAACCTGCTGATGAGCTTTTTCACATGTTTTTGTTCTGTGTTTCTATGAAATCAGTGAAGTCAGTAAATAGGTGTGTTTAGTGGAATGGCAGAATTCTCCATAACCCCAAAGCTACAGTCTAACAACAACAAAATGTCTTCATCCGCTGACCTTTGGAACAGCAGGAGAGCGAGACCCGACGCATATATGTCAAAGCCTCCCACTCCCCTCAGCCCTGACCCCCCAATTCAGATCCAAAACATGAAACCACCCTCTGAAGTCTTTCCTGAGCAAGCTGGTCCCTGTGAAATATTTGCTCTCCTTTGAAGGGCTCTACATTCATCAATGGCCATAGGATAGGCATGTTTAGGGATACAGAGAGGCCATACAGGAGAGGTTTCCTGAGGTGGTTGAGCCAATACAAAGGCCGGGGCTGTGTTTACATCTGGGCCCGGGCCTGAAACAACAGACCTGACAGAGGGAGGCCGGAGCTGGAACGTCCGACATCTGGATGGAGGGAGATCAACTTCACAACTCCACGCTACAGCTTTACACTTCCATCCTCATCCATCACTATCTCAATATCTCACTCCAAAGTTGGTCATAGTTCAAGTGGAGATTTTCTAAATTTACTACAACTGACTTTTGCTCTTGAACAGAAAAATTACTATACCATTATCATTTAGTCATAAATGTTTTAAGACAAAAATAATGTCAGTGTTATTTAAAAGTTATCGTCAATTATTTTTATAATTAGAAAAACGAGGAGAATATTAAAAATTTCACTTTTTGTCACAGAACCTGGAGCAATAGGTCGATTGACAGTCTATGCAAAAGATGTGTGTTCATGTCATGAAAGCTACAGTTGGTTGTTATGCAAAGTCTTTGATTCTTATGCAAATATAGGGGGCGTCATGAGACGTTGAAATGCAGGTAAGCATGCTGAGGAGGAAAAACATTACATTTAGTTTCCGTTGTAAACGACACCGGTTGAAACTGGCTGTTGAGAGTCACTATCCCTGTTATCACTCTAATAGAAAGGAGTCATATGTTCAGTTTCATTGCTCATTTACCGTGCATTCCACTGCCCTCAACCTGAGGACACAGAAAAATTAATGGCATCAGACCACCCGTGGTACAAAATGTTTGACTGTCTCCAACCAGCTGAAGTCAGCTGAGGAACATCCTTTTATATCAGATACAAGATTATAAAACTCTGACTAATCAACATAATTCTGCACACATTATGCTCACATTCCAAAAATACCCAGGAACATTATGTATTCTATATTAGGTGATGTTTTAGCACTGATGAGATGGATGAAGACGATAAAGTGCACAAGGTTTCTACATTCAGTCTTCCTTTGCCATTAAATGTAAGTAAATATAACACAGCTATATGACTTAACACTTGTACTTGTGATAGACAGAAGATATACAGTATGTACCATCTGAGGTTAGTTACCGTAATTTAAATCAGGAACACACAACATGTAACTACAAACAACCATGAGTTGTTCTTACCAGATGGATATACGGTACAAAGTAGCCCAGCACAGCTGTAGCTACTCCAAACGCCCACAGCCGATATGTCACGATGTGAAACACACGCAGGTTGAAGTATTTCCTGAGCCCAGCTAGAACCCTGCTCCAACAGCTCACGCCCTGAACAGTAGCCCCTGACTGGGTTTGGGGCTCAGCAGAACCAGGACCCATGCCCGGTGGTCCCATGCCTCCTCCAGTAGGCATTAAAGGTCTGAACGTCAGCGCCAGCAGTGCCTGGACCAGCATGAAGAGGCTGAGGATCTGGAAGGTCCTGCTGAGGCCCAGAGGTTCCACCACCTTGTTGAGGAAAACTGGGAGGCCCATGGAGAAGAGGCTGGCACCGGCTGTCACCATGCCGTTGGCCAGGCCCAGGCGCCGGCGGAAGTAGTGGCCGAGGATGACCAACGAGGGCTGGAACGCGAAGGAGGAGCCACAGCCAAACAGTATGCCATATGTGAAATAACGAAGGCCCAAGGAGCTGCAATAAAAGAGTAAAGCAATAAAAAAAAAACGATAGATAAAGGAAGATAAGAAGATTGTGATGATAAGATGTTGACAAGGAGCAGATAACTATGATTAAATTACTATAACTCCAGTTGCTCTGCTTTAAAGTTATTATTATTATGCAAACAAGAAATAAAAAATATGATTAGACACCATGCATGCCACTGTAACAAAATTGCCAAAGTCAGGCTGCCCATATCAGATTTTTCACACAGCTCAAATAAACCAGAGGTTACATTAAAAAATGTTTTTCCTTTTCCTGATCCAATTTGTACATTTATATCTATACTGATGTTACTTTCTATTTTTAAATATTTACATAACAAAAGGATTTACACACATGAATTCATATTTTTCCAAAATAGCAGACAAAGTTATTTCCAGCTTCTAGGTTAGAAAATACATTTGTAACTAAAGAAACTGGTTAAATCTTTACTGGGAAACGAATTTCCGAATAATGAATGCTAACAGTAGCTCTGTAACTAAAATGCAGTGAAATTACACCAGAAACACAAACTGGGGCAAGGCCAAGCGATGTCTTTATGAAATGTTCCCTAGCTTACTTTGCAAAGGATGTACTGAGCAAGCCTATGAAAGCCAGCACTGCCCCACAGACAGCCGTCTTCCTGCAGCCAAAGCGGTCGGTGAACATGCTGACCACAGGGGAACAGAAGAAGATCATGCCCATGGCCAGGGCCCCGACCCAGGCTGCAATGGAAGAGGAGAAGGGAGATGATTAATCATCAGTAACGTGGAAATGCTAAAGGTTGTGGCTGTAAATCAACAAATGGAGGAAATACAGGATGCAGTTCTATGCAATGCAACTGACGTGTGGACAATGAGGAGAAACTGATTATCTTTCCTGAATGGAAGCAATACACAAAAAAACTGTGTCGTGTGTTATCGTTCAACAGTTTCTACAAGAAAGGCAAATTCCTATAAATCAAAGGATTTGCCCTTACTGCTACTTATAGTACAATAATTGTGTGTATTTACAGCCCTACTTGAAAGAAATTAGCAGTAGGAAAGAAAATTATATATACATTATGACTCAACAATAGAACAATAACACTAATAACTGCAATGTGATTTGATTTGAAAATAATATATATATTAATATAAATTAATGTAACTCTGCATCATGTTCTGTTCATCAGACACACTCTATGAGATTTCTCATGGTGATTAAGCAGATCAAAAAGTCAATCAAAGTGGGCAGTTCTGTCTGGTGGTGTAATATTCAACCAGAGTTAAAACGTCACAAGCCTGTGTACCCTGAAGTGCAAATAATCAAGTGCCTGCGTCCAGGGAGCAAAGGTAGCTTTAATGTCTACGGTGTTGTCTGGGCTGTGGGTCACACTGATCTAAAAGATCGACGGGAATGAGACCAGACAGATTGACAAACAGGTGGATGCACTGATACACCCACTTAGACACACACACATGCATACACCCACACAGTGAAACATGAGATGTGCAACAGTAAAATAGGTATTATAGATGCTTTACATCTGCCTCCCACATGTCTCATACTTAACACTTGACATGAAAACATATAGTACTGAGGACGAAATCAGTAGCAACGTTGGATGAGATCAGATTAACCCACTTTACTTAATGAGCCAAAGAGTTGGGGTTTGGCTTCCTATAAGCACCTTAGCATTACAATTGCCCTATATTGCTCAACTGATCTAGAGCGTTAATGCAGGACTCAGGCATTCTTTGGAGGCTTCAATAAGAACACTGCTCATTCACTTCAAGTGGGCCTACGTCATGCGTTGCCGAACTACATTGTGGTTCTGTTGCTCACACTGCATATGGTAAAAGTTTTCATGTGGCAGTGGAGGCACCAGCCAATCAAATCGTGTTTAAACAAATGCAGGTCCTGCCTGACATCAACTGTTAAAATGAGCCTGGGAACAGGAGGCAGAAGCAGCTGTTGAACCTGGTATATGTTCATCTGGATGTAGATTTAATCTCCCATGGCACGATAGCGCTCTCTTAAGGGATTGCTGCTTTAAATTTAGTGGATTGTCTAACAAGGTCTGTAACCATCTAACCGATGCATTTCTGATGATACAATCTGTTTGGGTAACCACCAAATCCTGAGGGGAATATCTGGTAAATGCCTCTGTTCGGTCACTAGCTTCTGATCCATTGCCTGTTATTTGGTGCTGGGTGGTTAGAGTACAGTCACTATTTAGAACTTTTTCACTTAAAACTGCGGCTTCCTGTCGCTCAAAAACGAAACGATGAATCCAAACAGGGTAGGTGCTTTAAACTGAAACAATGGTGCTGTAGAGTAACTTGGGTTAAAACTTCTGTTTGTTCTTCACTAAAATCAATCATTTTCACATTACACGTAATCCTTTATATAAAAACATGGATTATAGCACCTTTAATATTCTGAACAAGGTTGAACATACTCTATGGCTTTACAGTATGAACAACACCACAATGCGAAACACATATATATTTATATATATTTATATATAACCGAGGAAGCCATTTAATGACCCTCTTCATTATAGAGGCATCCCAATTCTGTTTAGGGATGTTTCTACATGAACCATGAGAACAGCCTGCAGACTTAAAATTTTATGACTTATGTATATATCTAAAAAAAAATGCTGCACTCAGACCTCCTGACAGAACCAGGTCAATTTCAGTTTAGGTTAGAGGCCCCTGGAATCTCAGAAATTAATGGCCACAGTCTTGCACGGTTCTACAATTGGGATCACTTTTGCCTTCATTGGTATTTCTCCAGCTTCTCATATTCCTTCTTATTGATGGTGCTGTCACTTCACACTCTTTGACTCTATCTCCAGCACAAGTTTCCGCTCCTTGTTCACAAACCATATGGCCAGTTGGTTAGTATGGATGGATCACAGGATCTTACAGTATATATGTCACTCTCAGTTTAGCCACAGCCTTGTCTCCCATCTGGACATGCACTGTTATATGTAGACATGTCTGTTTTTAGTTTTTTTATCAAAATCCATGAATTATTCTCTGAGAAATCAAAACCCTATCTCGCATTGTTAAAAAAGTGAAAAACAAAAATCCTAGCTCAGACCCATGAACCAACTCTGCACTCCTGAATCATATCGCATCTTTTCACCAAGTCTCGTACAACTCCATCCAGTAGTTTTTGTCTAATCCTGCTAACTAACAGACAAACAGATGAAAACATAACCTCCTTGGTGGAGTTAACAAAGACAGATAGTTCACTGTTTTATACTTTCCCTAGCTGAATAAATGTTTACAGGAAGATGGGATCAGATAAATAGAGCATGAGTAATGTAGAACAACAGACTGAATAGAGACAAACAGAAGGACAGTCAATGTATTATTGAAGACTAGGAAGACAAGATTCAAGGCTTAACTTCCAGAAACTCATTCTTCAAACCTTTTCCTAGCTTCCTCAGTACCTTGTGTCTTCGCTCGAACTGAAGGCGACAGCAATCTGGCTCTAAGGTAACATGATAAACTAAGCACCAGTACCACCTTAATTAATGGTTGCTGTTGTTCCTCTCAATTACTTTTCCTCAAACCTGCATCTATAGGTTCTTGACTGGACCCATGTGGAGAAGACGATCACTGAATGTGTGGGTAAACGCTGCAAAGTGCAGTGTACCCTATGTTACTGTGCAGGAAAAAAAACAAGCACGTCTAAAAAATAACAAGGTCTAGTGTGCACTCAGAGGCGAACAAAAATGCAGACCCATGCCTGTTTTCCTCCCCTTTCTTTTCTCTCTTCTGGTCAACCCACCCACCAATGCCCTATTCTCCTCTGTGCTGGCACAAGCCAAGGTCTGTGAATAGACAGAGGAGAGCATATTCATTAGAGAAGATTAGTTCAGGACAGTTTTGAACAAAAGAAAAAAGAACTCAGCGAGGAAGGCTGATGCTAAATGAAAAGAAAGTGTGTGTGTGTGTGTGTGTGTGTGTGTGTGTGTGTGTGTGTGCAGGGAAGACATTCAATAGGTCCCGTCTTTACATTAGCAGGACAAACTTCTTGCAGCAGGGAAATGCTGTTGGATTTTTAAATAGTCATTTAATGCATCAAGAGCTTAACCCTAGGTCACTAGGTTTAGCTTGTTTTAGGCAGTGCAAGCTGTATAGTATACATGCATGCTGTTTGTTCTGTGCAAACCCAACTAAATCACCAGAGTTGGAGTAATATTCATAGCATACTGTTTTTCTACACATGCTGGATGTGGCTTTTTTGGCTGGTCCGTGTCATGGTACTTATAGCTTTAACTGGCCCCAGACAACTTCAATATCTGAAAAAATGTTTTGCATGCCAAACGCGTGAGAGCACCAACAGTGAGTCACATGCGTCATTCAGGTCCTCCGAGTGCCTTTAGGACTGACATTTACAAGGCTGTGATGGAACAATCACCTCAACACTCCTCTTACAATATGGTGCTGTGACAGTTGTTGCAGATACAGCGAAACAGAGTTTGGACAGTGACACTATATTTGTTGTGTTGGCCCCGTGCTCCAAGATTGGCTCTGAAATGAAACTATGAGGTCAAAGTGGCAAAGTTCATCTATAATCAGCTGACGACTGAAGGATTTACTCCAGCCCCTCAGACAGAATGAAAGTGCTTTCAAAGAAAAAGGTTCACAGCCTGTTCTGAGGATTATCCTGAGTAACCCGAATCAGAATCAGAAATACTTTATTAATCCCCGTAGAGAAATTCAAAGGACATTGTTACTAGAAAGTGGGGTTGATGCCAACTTATTTTAACATTTGCAATTTACAAACAAAGTATTGACTGTCAGAAGAGACGCACATCTCCAAACTTTGGCAAATAAAACCCAAACTATCTGAATAGAGAGATGAAACTGCACTTAGTAGAATCTTTGGAGGAACAAAACTGCAAAAATTTTAAAGTGGATTTAATTGTATATTAATTTATGTTTTTTCTTTATTTAATATAAATTTAGGCAGTTTCAGACCTCCATATAAACTCAAACCTTTCAAGTTAAAGGAAAATCCAATGTGCCCAAACAAATGTCAAATGATTTCCTAGCGCAGTGTTTGTGCCTCAAACGATTTCCAAAAGCGACGAGGAGGAAATATTCCATCTGCAAAACAATGCAACACATTTTCTTCGAAACTGTCCCGGGTAACAACAGTTAAATTAACAATAGCTGTACATATGTTTGCAACATTAATAAACACACAAAGGTACACCATGGACTTGTTGGTAAGGAAGCCCATTTCCTCATGGCCACATGAAATGCCCTAAGCAGATGCTAGGGGTGGACAATGTACTGCTGTATGACATACATGGTCATCTCAACTGAAAAACACAGATGTCAGTGATTTTACACAACAGACACAAAACTGAATGGTGGATGATCCTCATGAACCAGAAGAGCTGCTGCTGTAACAAAAACACCATAACTGAAAATAGACGCTGTTCTTATAATGACTTCTAAGTCTTATTATGTAAAGTTTGGCTTTACTCTTGAACTTGCTGGGCCTGATTCTAGCAGTTTGAGCTGTGACTACCAAAGTTACAATGAGCAAGAACAACTGTTCGGGGTGAGGAGTAGGAATGTGTCAAAAAAAAAAAATTCAAGTTTCTGTTTTAAGGTTTAAAAAGTTGCATGGTGTTGTGTTAACTGTGTTTACTAGTTGAAAACTTTAACAATTAGTAGCCTGAGTGCATGAAAAATGTAATGCAGGGATCTCTAGATGCTGTATGAGTGGTTAATTTGGTACCAATCACTAACAATTAGAATTCAATGCTGATGTCATCAAGCTAAAAGTACTGCTATGCAATCCACATGTGTTTATGCTACTAATTTTCCAAGATGAAAAGTACGTATGGAGTTATATTAGATATGTATCAGACCGAGAGCACAGTGTAGCAGCACAACTTGATTTTTCTGCCTCAACCAGCTCTTGGGGTTCAGTCCTGATAACCTTCACCACTCCTTTGTGTCTGAAAGGAAGCTTTTACTTTTTTCCCCCCTCACTAATTCCTTTTGCATCAGCTGGAATACTGCCTGTAGATGAATGTGTTAACCCTGTGAACCCACATATAACAAAAACTGTCTTAATCACTGTGTTTAATAGTCTGTATGTACCTGCTTGTGTGTGGAGCTTGCAGAGACTAAGATCTGAACTGAACTCATTGCCCGGCCCACTGGAATGCCAAAAATGCCACAGTACTCCCTGATCTGTCAACCTGGGATTTCCACCTACCCCCAGAGATGCTGAAGCAATCTGGGGCAGCGGAGCCTCAGAGCAGCAGAGCACAGCAGTAACTACAGAAGTTCGCTTGTGACCGACACCTGCCTAAATCTCAGCTAGAAAGTACTTTTTACTAAGTTGATGTGTGTCTTCAAACAAATGTCAGCCACTGAATGTTGACCACATCTGATATCAGTCTTTTTTATTTTATTTTATTT